GTCTATTTGGTATAGAAACACTCAGTGCCATTAGGGAGGAAGTTGCTGGATTTTGGCTCAGTAACACTGAAGGAGCAACCTGTGTGTTTCCAAGTCTAGATGTTCAGTCACTTGGAGGGGAAGTTTCAGGTGTTGTTCCCATTATCCATAGCCCTGGACCTTCTAGATCACAATCATCATAGGTTTGGAAGGTGCTGGCTGAGGAATTGATGATAAGTTGATCAGTCTGGAATTCCCAGTTTTCTCCTAATTCTTCTTCAGCATAGTTGCATTACACTTGCTACCCTATACATCTGGTAATGTTTCAGAATCCACAGAAAACAACATCAGTAGAGGACAATTGTATGTGGAGGATAATTGTATGTAGATGAGCACTTGAAATGTCATTACATTGGCTAACAAACAAGCGCTATAAAGTGTGATTTGTGTAGATAGGTCGATGGGTTGAAGGGCCTGTCCTGTGCTGTATGACAAGGACGGATGCAAACTCCCTTTACATTTGCAGGCCCTGGAGGGCATTCGCAGTGGTGGACAGAAGGATTCATCCCAGTGCCACAGCCATTTCTCATGACAGAATTAGTCCAACCGTGGATAAAGGGCTGAATTTCAGAAGTAAGGTGACTTCCTTTGACATCAAGGTAGCATTTGGCATGATGTGGCATCAAGGAACCCTGGACAAATTGGAGGCATTGAGAATAGAGGGGGGAGTGAAAGGAAAAGATGCTTCACTGGCTAGAAGCTATGCCTAGTGCAAATAAATGCATTTGTAATTGTTGAAAGCATCATAACACAAACCATCTTCAGCTGCTTCATCAATGACCTTTCCTCTATCCTAAGGTCTGAAATTGGGATGGTACCACATTGTTCAGTCCAATTCACAATTCCTCAGGTAAATTAAGAGCCAGTGCCTAAATGAAGAAATACTTAAATAACATTCAAGCTTTTGCTGAATAGTGACAAATAATATCATATGCATTAGTAAAACACAAGAGCCATCTTCTACAAGAGTGATCCTGAGCTCCTTCCCTTGACATTCAATTGGATTATCATTGGTGAATCCCTCAACATAAACATCATTGTGGTTCCTAATGACCAGAAACTTAACCGAGCAAGTAAATACTGTGGCAACAAGGTCTACAAGACAATGTGGGGGATTTGGACTGAGATTGAGTTGCTCATGCAGAACACTGGCACAGGCATAATGAACTGAATGGCCTCCTTCTGTGCCACAACTGCTTTGTGATTCTAAGGGCAAGGCAGAGGCTGAATATTCTGAAGTGAGTAACTTGCTTCCTGACCCACCACCCCTTTATCGTTGTAGCTTACTGGAATATTGTTCATGTACCTAGATGAGTGCAGCTCCATCAACGTTTGAGGAGCTCAGCAGCATCCAGGATAAAGCAGTCCATTTGCTTGGCACTCCAACAATCACCTTGAAAATTTACATCTTCCACACGTGTGCCATATCTGCAATATGCATTCATCAAGACTCTTTTAACAACACGTTACAAATCTGATGCTTCTCCTAACTAGAAGAACAAGGAACATGACGAACTGCAAGTTGCCCTCCAAGACACACACCATCCTCACTTTATAACACATTTCCTTCACTATTAGTGAAAATCCACCCCAACCCCCCCCAACCCAAATAGCACTGTTGTCTTGTATCTACATCAGTTAATACGTACATTCTCAAAGACGAGAATGAGTAATAATTTACTCTGTCCTGCTAACAATCCATGAATAAGCTGAAAAATAACCTTGTACAGACCCCAGATAGCAAGGTGTAGAGCTGGATGAACACAGCAGGCCAAGCAGCATCAGAGGAGCAGGAAGGCTGACGTTTCGAGCCTAGACCCTTCTTCAGAAAATTGTTATTTTCATTTCAATTTTCATTTTCTGAAGAAGGGTCTAGGCCCGAAAGGTCAGCCTTCCTGCTCCTCTGATGCTGCTTGGCCTGCTGTGTTCATCCAGCTCTACACCTTGTTATCTCAGATTCTCCAGCATCTGCAGTTCCTACTATGTCTTGTACAGACCTCAGTTCTTCTTTGTTGGTGGGGGGGAAAAATAACAAACTTCTTTTTCCGGTGGATCAGAATGCTTCAGAAAATGGCAGGGGTTTTGGCTGGTTTGCATAATCAGCTTGCAGATTTGTATGTTGGCGCCTAGTTTCCTTGCCTGGTTTATACAGAATTGCTTTAAGGTCACTGACCAGATTGCACTTCTACCATTGTCAAAGTGGTGTGCATGCTGATCTTGTACAATATATGAAGATTAAACACACCCCTCTATATAGCCAGGAAGCATAAATGAGAATTTGGAAGAACCATGCCTTAATCTTTCAATTTAGAGTACATCTAGGAAAGTACAAATTCAGCCTGTGTGAAGTATTCAGATGAGCCAGATATACGTTCCATTACATATTTTTAATGGAGCCTGTAGAGGGCAATTCTCAAGGGCAATTAAAAATGGATAATAAATGCTTGCCCAAATCAGCAAAGCTCATATCCACTGAATAAATAAGAAACAACAAAATTCCAGTGAAACTTAACAATTGCATTACTGGCAAGCATTTAATTGTGAATCGAAGCTTACTCAGGTTTAATTAGCAACTTGTGGTAACTTTGTAGAAATATCTGGTGGTTGGGATATAAAACATATCTACAGTTTGCATGCATTTTTAAAACTTTAACTGAGGTTGGAATGCAATCTGCCTAATAGGTATTGTGTAGGAAGGTATATGTACGTATGAATGGCATTGTCTTCATTGGTTCATGATGTGGACGTTGCAGGTGCTGGACTGGGGTGGACAAGGTCAGAAGTCACACAACACCAGGTTATAGTCTAACAGGTTTATTTGAAATCACAAGCTTTCAAAACGCTGCTGCTTTGTCAGGTGAAGTGAAGAAAAGCACACAGGCACAGAATTTATAGGCAGAGTGATCAAAAGATCATACAAATGGGTTAAATGGAGTGTCAGTAGGCTGAACAATAAGTCTCTGCAGGTGATCAAAGGTGTCAGACAGTGTGAGTAAAGTGTCAACAGCTAAAAAGCAAGTGAAGGGATGATCTTTGATCCCATTGATTGAAGTAGAGAGATAATTACAAAAAATTAAAAGTAAGATGGTGCTGGAGACACACCAAATGGCTGGAATAAGATAATAGGTATAAGAGTTGCATGCCAAAGGTCTGACCAATGTAACAAGTAATCCAAAACTGTACAGACTGATTAAGGTAGAGAGGTCGTAACAAGTTATCAAGGTGATGCCGTCCAAACAGGACAGTAAGGAAGATTTTACAGATACAGACAGTATGGTAGGGTCACCTGTAGCACGACGTGAACCCAAGATCACAGTTGAGGCCGTCTTCATGGGTACAGAACTCGGCTATCAGTTTCTGCTTGGCAATTCTGCGTTGTTGGGTATCTCGAAGTCCGTCCTGGAGGACGCTTACCCGAAGATTGGGGGCTGAATGCCCTTGACCGCTGAGGTGTTTCCCAACTGGGAGGGAACATTTCTGTCTGGCGATTGTTGCGCAGCATACATTCATCTGTTGTCATAACATCTGTATGGTCTCAGCAATATACCATGCCTCGGGGCATCCTTGCCTGCAGCGTATGAGGTAGACAACATTGGTTGAGTCACATCAGTATCTGTCGTGTACATGATGGGTAGTGTTCCCAAGTGTGATGGTAAAAGAAGCCATCCCCTACAGACAAGCCCTGTGTGCACACAGGATCTGCTCAGATGAGGAGGAATGCGACAGACACCTCAAGATGCTGAAAGACATCCTAATAAGAACAGATGCGATGTTCAACTCGTTCGCCAGTTCCGATGTGCCACAGCGAGAAACCGCAACGACCTCCTCAGAAGACTCACACAGGACACGATGATAGAGTACCCTTTGTTGTCCAGTACTTCCACAGACTGGATAAACTACGGCATATTCTTCGCAGCCTTCAACATGTCATCAATGACGACGAACATCTTGCCAAGATCATCCCTACGCCTCCACATTTCGCCTTCAAACATCTGCCAAACCTTAAACAGACCATTGTTTGCAGCAAACTACCCAGCCTTCAAGACAACATCGACCACAATACCTCACAACCCTGCCATGGCAACCTCTGCAAGACATGCCAGATCATTGACATGGATACTAGAATCACACGTGGAAACACCACCCACCACGTATACAGCAGATACCCACGTGACTCAACCAACGTTGTCTACCTCATACACTGCCTGTAAGGATATCCCAACATATAGTATATTGGTGAGACCATGCAGATGCTACAACAACGGATAAATGGACACCACACAACAATCACCGGAGAGGAATGTTCCCTCCCAGTTGGAACACTTCAGCGGTCAAGGACGTTTAGCCACCAATCTTGGGTAAGTGTCCTCCAAGGTGGCCTTCGAGAATCACCAAGCAGAAACTGACAGCCAAGTTCCGTACCCAGAAGACGGCCTCAACCGTGATCTTGGCTTCATGTCGCGCTACATGTAACCCCACCACATTGTTCCATATTTGTAAAATCTTCCTTACTGTCCCATTTTAACACCATCATCTTGATAACTTGTTATGATCTCTCTAACTTCATTGTTTCAGACAAAAATGGAAAAAGGTTCATCCTTTGAAATTAGTATATATGATTGCTAATCTCATTCCATAACAAAAACTAGCCTCTATATTTTAAATATTCATCCCTATTTGTTAATTTTAATTTTGCCGTAGTTGGGGAGGATGAGATAGATGAAGGTCTTTGAACCAACTGGAAAAAATATTCAATATAGCGATACATAAAAAGCTAGCTTTTTGTTGTCGGTGAAAAATCAAGAAATCAGTTAACCATTGACTTTTATTTCAGTGAGAAAAGGTCTTGCATGTAATCCATTGTACTTTTAATAACCACGCTTATGGTCTGTTAAGTTATTTGTTGTGTACTTAATATTTGGCAAAGTTTTTATTTGCATGAAACCTGTTATCTTACCTAGCTGAGAATGCTACAGCCCAAATTGGTGAGACCTTGGCAAAAGTTGAGTTCACTCAAGTGCACCAAGAATGCCCTGATGGCAAGCCAGATGACATGGCAATTATATCGCAAATGCACCCTATCCCGGAGAAAGTGGCTGATACCGAAGTTGATCAAAACCAAAGTCTGCCCTCAGTGCATGAACCTGTCCATAACCAAGATAATACAACAGAAACAAAATCTCACATCAGCCAAGGAAACTCTACAAAGGGAGAGTCTCATTACAGTTACAAGCAGATGTTGGATCAGGAACCTCCCTGCAATGTAGGCCAGGTCTCCGTGCAATTCAGTCCAGAACATGTGGACAGAAAAGAATCTCTACATAGCCAGTTACGCAGTGCTGTTGTCAAGGCACTTGCTAGTTCTGGTGACCGTATTCCTTCATCTGACCCTTCAGGTACTGGTCAGCAGGGTAAGACCCAGACTTTTTGAATGAACAAGCACAGTACCCTCTAATCAAAAACATTGGGCTCCTGAACTTGATTTACCTTTGTCTCTTGACATGCTGAATCTTCACTATCACTGACCTCTGTCTCAATTTTTTGATCAGTTGCTATTGTATCTGGTGGCTCAGGACTAATTTGAATTTGTTCTTTTCGGGTCTGGATTTTCTATTGGTCTGTGCAGCTCTACAATTCTTATCTCAATTCAAAATAATAATCACCCCTGAGCGCTGTTGGTTTCCTTAGACCCTTGAAATGATGCATGCTTTTCACCTTCCCTTGCATGCTATAGAGTTTAGAAACAGAAAGTGATGGTGTTATTAATCTTCAGAACAGCATTCATTTTTTCATGTGTTTTAAAGCATGACTGAAGGAGTTTGTACATTTAATTTGGATGAAGTATTTTAGATGGTATTTTCTAGGGTTTACTTTTGTGCTGCATGGTTTACATGCTGAAAATATTTGTAAAAGCTTAATTGAATCAAGATGCTACATACGACAGCTGGTTTGACTTGATGAAATAATGTTTTTCCCATATGTCAATTCGGTAATTGAATTTTCAACCAGACACAACTGAAAACTTCAAAATCGCTAGAGATACATGTTAAGCACTGCTGGTTAGCATGTCAACTTTAACATCACACTGATTTGAATGTTGGCACGTTTATCAAATTTAACATTGTGGAGACTGCTAAAGGGATTACTGCAGTTGAGTTCATCTGCTTCTTTTTAGGTCCACCTGTATGCTTTAGCAAGGGAAGCAAGGTATTTTTCAATCTGTTTGGTCTAATAATTTGCAGTGGACATTGGAGATAGGTAGTGGAATTGTGCGCAGAAAGAGAGGGATGGAGACTGTAAACCATTAGATTATTTATTCCTATGTTAGTTAACCTTGCCAGGAGTACCAGAACAAGATGAGAGGCTGTTTGTGCATCTAAATTATCCAGTGGATTGCTATCCATCATGGTAGGCAACTGAGAGCCTGCTGCTATCCCAGATCTAAATGACGATTGATGTTGAGGTTCAAACACCAGAGACTGACAAAAACGAAAAATTATATTTTTTTTATGTGTAACCACTATGGAGAAAAAACACTGCAATCAAGGCGTTGACAACTTGTTCAAAATTTAAACCTTTATTGTCTTGTTTCCTCTCAATTGACCTTCAGAGGTTTTAGAGTCCCAGTCAGTGGATGAAAAAGTAAATGATGGACAGAGTCCTGCAGACCACACACCTACCCGCACTCCTCCCAGCACTCCAACAAAATTAGATGATGGTAAGATCCACCAAGCGCTTCAGATTGTCTAACTTTAAAGCATGGTGATTTATAATTGAATTTTGATAAAGGTATTTATGCTTGTGTAACTTTCAAAAAACTGCTTTGTCTCTTAATTGAGCAAAAGTGTACAAGAAAGTGTGCACATAAAATAAAATTACTATAACTATTTGTGAAACAACTGGAAAACAATGAGCACATGAAACTAGTTATAAAATTGGCAGTAAACTAATTCCAATAGAAATTTGACCTGCATACTTGCAGGTATAACTTCATGACCAGTGATGTGCTTTGACTTGATCAATTACGAGAGGTTGTCAATTTTAAGAATCGTTGACTGATATAAGTCAAAGTACAGCTCAAAATATAAGTAGTCTCAAGCATGAAGAAAATAATATTGTGCACATCTTGTTCATTGCTGCTATTAGATTACACCTCTTTGTCAGAATCTTTACCTGAAGAAAGCAATTGAGATTGACTTTTTGCAGAGGTAGATGGGGATCAGAAAGAAACGAACTGCTGTATAAATGTATTTAGGAGTAATCTGGGATTGCAGGTAGGCCAGACCAGGTAAGGGTGACATGTTTCCTTCCCTAAAGGACATTAGAGAACCAGATGGAGTTTTATGACAATTGGCGAAGGTTTACATCATCACCATTAACGTAGTTTTTTAATTCAAGATTTTTATTGAATTCAGATTTCTGTATCTGCTACTGTTGAATTTGAACCCATATTTACCAAAACTTTAGCCTGAGGTTTTGGATTGCTAGTCCAGTGACATTACCACCTCCTTTGCTGAATTTCAGGATTTTTCAAGTTTAGTGATGTTGTTACTTTGATTTAGAGAATTTGGTGATTTTTAATGCACCACCCAGGTTAGAATATTGTAGACTAACTGAGAGTGTCATGGTCAGTTAACAACTCCATTATAGTTGTATCATATGACTACCAAGATGGTGGAAGGTGAGCTCTTGCACTTGTTAGATCGATAAATCCATGTTATGCAGATGAACAAACCAGCTATAAATAACTTTCTACAAACAGTAACAAGAAGAAATGTATATAACAGACAGTATTGGTTTGCAGCAAGGAGAAATTCTAGCACTTGATAAGAAATCCTTGCCCTGTTGAATAACTATCGGAGTATATAAAATTTACCTGACCCATTGAAATCAGTATGATCTTATCCATAGGCTCACCTCTAAAGTATAGTGTTCCCGAGAGTTTAGAAGAAAGAGAGGAGATCCAATTAAGATATATAGGGTGCTAATGAGGATTGACAAAATAGATGTAGAGAGGATATTTCAATCTAGAATGAGAGGTCATAGTTTTAGGATAAGTGATAGCTGATTTTAAAAAAATGCTGAGAAGAAATTACTTCTCTCAAATGGTTGTGAATCTTTGGAATTCACGACCCCCAAAGTGCAGTGGATGCTGGGACATTGAGTGAATTTAAGAAGGAGATAGACAGATTTTTAATTAGTAATATCTTTTAAGGGTTCTGGAAAATGGGCAGGCACGTTGAGTTGAAGCCAAGATGAGATCAGCCGTAATCCTGTTAAATGGTGGAACTGGCTCGAGAGGCTGAATTGCCCGCTCCTGCTCATGGTTCATGTGTTTTCACTATATTCAAGCGTCAGTCGAGTTCTAGTTCAAGTTCTAGTGTGGTTTTTGACCCATAGTATAATGACTCAGAACAAGAATGCAATCAGTGAGCTAAGCTAAGGGACATAGCAATTGGGTGTGAGTAAAGACCATATTAGTCTTTTGGACCAACTCCAGCCTAATCTGTGGATGACTATTCAACCATGGACTCTCATCAAATCCTGCTTATTCCTAATTTAAGAAACATGTATGCCCTTTTCCCTTGTCGATATGGGAGACAAAAACAACCATGTTACTAATATCCATAAATTTCAATTTGTTTCTCATGATTGGGAAGCATTTGTGTAGAACTGTCCCTCCAGGAGATTAAAATTGTTTCAGAGATAGTAGGAACTGCAGATGCTGGAGAATCTGAGATAACAAGGTGTAGAGCTGGATGAACACAGCAGGCCAAGCAGCATCAGAGGAACAGGAAGGCTGACGTTTTGGGCCTAGACCCTTCTTCAGAAATGGGGGAGGGGAAGGGGGTTCTGAAATAAATAGGGAGAGAGGGGGAGGCGGATAGAAGATGGATAGAGGAGAAGATAGGTGGAGAGGAGACAGACAGGTCAAAGAGGCGGGTATGGAGCCAGTAAAGGTGAGTATAGGTGGGGAGGTAGGGAGGAGATAGGTCAGTCCAGGGAGGACGGACAGGTCAAGGGGGTGGGATGAGGCTAGTAGGTAGGAGATGGGGGTGGGGCTTGAGGTGGGAGGAGGGGATAGGTGGGAGGAAGGACAAGTTAGGGAGGCGGGGACGAGCTCGGCTGGTTTTGGGATGCGGTAGGGGGAGGGGAGATTTTGAAGCTTGTGAAGTCCACATTGATACCATTGGACTGCAGGGCTCCCAAGCGGAATCCTACAGACAAAGGGGGTGGCCATGGGTACCCGCATGGGCCCAAGCTAGGCCTGCCTCTTCGTAGGTTACGTGGAACAATCCCTCTTCCGTACCTACACTGGCCCTAAACCCCACCTCTTCCTCCGTTACATTGATGACTGTATTGGCGCTGCCTCATGCTCCCACGAGGAGCTCGAACAGTTCATCCACTTCACCAACACCTTCCACCCCAACCTTAAGTTCACCTGGATCATCTCCAATACCTCTCTCTCCTTCCTGGACCTCTCTGTCTCCATCTCTGGCAACCACCTAGAAACCGATATCCATTTCAAGCCCACCAACTCCCACAGCTACCTAGAATACAGCTCCTCCCACCCACCTTCCTGCAAAAATGCCGTCCCCTATTCCCAATTCCTTCGCCTCCGCCACATCTGCTCCCAGGATGAGGCATTCCACTCCCGTGATCTCGTTTTTCAAGGACCGCAACTTCCCCCCCTCAGTGGTCGAGAACGCCCTCAACCGTGTCTCCCGCATTTCCCGCAACTCATCCCTCACACCCCCTCCCCGCAATAACAACCAAAACAGAATCTCCCTCGTCCTCACGTACCACCCCACCAACCTCCGGATCCAACGCATCATCCTCCGACACTTCCGCCATCTGCAATCCGACCCCACCACCAAAGATATTTTTCCCTCCCACCCTTATCTGCTTTCCGGAGGGACCATTCTCTCCGGGACTCCCTTGTCCGCTCCACACTCCCCTCCAGCCCCACCACACCCGGCACTTTTCCCTGCAACTGCAGGAAGTGCTACACCTGCCCCTACACCTCCCCCTTCACCCTCATCCCAGGCCCCGAGAAGACTTTCCACATCAAGCAGATGTTCACCTGCACATCTGCTAATGTGGTACACTGCATCCGCTGTTCCCGTTGTGGCCTCCTCTACATCGGGGAAACCAAGCAGAGGCTCGGGGACCGCTTTGCAGAACACCTACGCTCGGTTCGCACTAAACAACTGCACCTCCCAGTCGTGAACCATTTCAACTCCTCCTCCCATTCCTCAGACGACATGTCCATCCTGGTCCTCCTGCAGTGCCACAACGATGCCACCCGAAGGTTGCAGGAACAGCAACTCATATTCCGCTTGGGAACCCTGCAGCCCAATGGTATCAATGTGGACTTCACAAGCTTCAAAATCTCCCCTTCCCCTACCGCATCCCAAAACCAGTCCAGCTCGTCCCCGCCTCCCTAACCTGTCCTTCCTCCCACCTATCCCCTCCTCCCACTTCAAGCCCCACCCCCATCTCCTACCTACTAACCTCATCCCACCCCCTTGACCTGTCCGTCCTCCCTGGACTGACCTATCCCCTCCCTACCTCCCCACCTACACTCACCTTTACTGGCTCCATCCCCGCCTCTTTGACCTGTCTGTCTCCTCTCCACCTATCTTCTCCTCTATCCATCTTCTCCTCTATCCATCTTCTATCCGCCTCCCCCTCTCTCCCTATTTATTTCAGAACCCCCTTCCCCTCCCCCATTTCTGAAGAAGGGTCAGCCTTACTGCTCCTCTGATGCTGCTTGACCTGGTGTGTTCATCCAGCTCTACACCTTGTTACCTCCAGGAGATTAGATGGATTCGAATCACAGAATCATAGAATTGTTACACTGCAGAAGGAGGCCATTTGGTCTAGTGTCAATCTCCTGCTTTTTCCCCCCCGCAGCCCTTGCACACTATTTCCACCCATATAATCTTCTTGAATGCCTCAATTGAACCTGCCTCCATTACAATTTCTGGCAGTGCATTTCATACACTAACCAGTCCCTGTGAATTTTTTTTGGTCTCACATTACTCTTACTACTTTTGCACATCGCTTTGAATCTATGTCCTCCTTGTTCCTTTTACAAGCAGGAACAGCTTCTCCCTATCTACTCTATCCAGCTTGTTCATGATTTTGAAAACCTCTATAAGATCTCCTCTGTCTTCTCTTCAATCTGTCTTCAACTGAAGTTTTTCATTCCTGGAACCGTTCTTGTAAATTGCTTCTGCGCTGTCTCCAATACATTCACGTCTTTCTATGATGTGATATCTACAACTGCACACAATATTCCTGCTGAGATCTAACAAGTGTCTTATACAAGTTGAACATCACCTCCTTAGAGTGAATTGTATTCGGGCTACAGAAGAAATCAGCTTCATTCCCTGGCTACTTAGAAAAGGTTTTAAGCAACAGTTCTTATTCGGAAAATCTAAAGATTTAGTAAGTGAATGTAGGAAAACATCTGTCTGCAATTTGACCTGCAGGGTGCTTTATATCTCACCAAAAAGCACAGGTATATTAGTTTATTTCAAGTCCAACTTAGATTTTTGACCAGAATAAAAGTACTTTATATTATTCTATGGAACGGGTCGAGTTAGTCTGTTCTCAGCAGTTAATTATAGTAGTGATTACAGAAAAATGGTGTAATCTGATTTATGTATTCGTGCAACCTTCTGTCATGTTAGTCACTGTCCTGTTGTAGTTTTTCCATTCACTGATCTCATCTGATTTCTCTGTTCTGTAATAATTGTTCTGTTCTTTTTTTTGTTTAACACAATCGGCTGTTATGAATGCATAGATTTTTCTTCTTGTGCTTTTTTTTTTCCTCCACCCGCCTTCCTGTGGCTGCATTACAAACAGGAGCTGGATGTGCTAAAGAGTACCTGTTACCATAGTAAGTATTGTGCGTTCATGTTTAGAGCTGCTTCAGTTAACCCTGCAAGACTTGCGTGCATGGCTTCCAGCTTTCGCATTCCTGTTCCCACTTCCATTTCCTCCTGGTTAATTGCCTACTTTAAACTGCACACCTCCTGAAATTTTAGAAATCGGTTTGATTTTACTCCATTGTTTTCTCACAAGGATCCAGAGTATATTATTTTTGATAAGACAGGCAAGAGAATTGTGCGCTATCAATAAATTTCCAGTTTCATTTTATCTAGATATCTGGTAATCTGATGAGTACATATATCTTCCAAATGAAAAATTTGTTAACATTGTTTAATTTTAATTCCTTGATGCATTTTTGAATAGTGTGTGCTGTGAAAGATGAGATAAAGTCTGCACTTGGTATTCAGTGTAAGTCTGTATGGTAAACACACTAAGATGCTGAATATTTTACGTTTGCGTTTCTAGCTCACATTTTTCAATATATTTTTACGTGTCTACTTTAAAAAAAATTGGTGTGTAAAATTTCAGGAATATAAACAAAATACTAAAATGGTCTGACTTTTTAGTGTATAAATACCAGAACTAACTAACTAAATCAGGTTTTAGAAAGTGGCAGTCAAGCTGTCTAATCTCTTCACAATTCAAGCAATGGCTTCTTGAAATCTGCTGCTATAACACCTGAATATATCCAGCCTAGAAATTACTTGCCAGTGTTTGCCATCAAAGGAAGGCCATAAATCTTCATTCATTACAATAAAATTAATTAGAAGTACAATAATTGATCTTTAGCCCTTTCTACTGAAAGAAGTAACTAAACCAAGATTCCATTAACCACAGTGCTCTGTGAGCTTGCTGCTGCCTATGCCAAAGCTCCTATATTTTGTTTTCTATTATCTGTTGTCTTTACCTCAAGCTAGAGAAAAGAGCAATATGATCCTGAATTGTGGGGAAAATGTAGAGATTTACTTTATAACCAGAGTTGTGAAGAACATTTATTGTACAGATCTTGAAGATTAAATATTTTGTAACAGTTCCATTGTAGTGGGACGGATTTGGAGACAGGAGATGGAAACGGCAGCACATAATATGAAGCAGCAGGTATTCTATAATGGAATGCAAATACAGAGCTTATGTCTGAGAGGTTTTCACACAGAGTAACAAACACACAGGATGGCAGAAAATTTTTGGTGTATTTTAGAAATGGCTTCTTGCTGTGCTGGGTCACTGTGGATGAGTGAAATATCATGGATTGATTTAGCTTTCTTGCCCACATTCAGCTCTAAAATAGAATTAAACCCCTCGGCTTTCAAGAACCATGGCATGCTGACAGATGATGGGTTGAAAATATTGAAAAGATTCTCAAATACTGCCTTTAGCAGTTGGTAGATTGAATCCTTCTAATTACTCCAACAGTGTAATTTAGCTTCTTAAAGTTTCTTTAAGGATATTTTAAAAGTGAAAAAACTATTAATTTTTTAAAAATCATCTTTTTAAAAGCAAGTCCCCCATCAGCCTGGATTTAAATCCAGCCCTGATGCAATATGATGCCTTGCAGGAGAGGATTGGCATTAATCTACCCTTTGCAGCAAACAAAATATCTTTTCAAAGATTTGGTTGCTGTAGTAATGTGGTAAATAATTTCTGCTTAACAAGACCTCACAAACACAAAGAGGTAATAACCATATAGTGTGTTGGTTAGGATACAAGGGGAGAATTTCCCTGCTGTTTTTTTTTAATTTCACCCAAGAGGGCAGACAGGGCACCAATTTGAATCATAGAATCCCTACAGTGTGGAAACAGGCCCTTTGGCCCAACAAGTCCACACCGAACCTCAGAGCATCCCACCAGCCCCATCCCCCTATAACTCACCTAATCTACACCTCCCTGAACACTACAGACAATTTAACATGGCCAATCCACCTAACCTGCACATCTTTGAACTGTGGGAGGAAACCAGAGCACCCAGAGGAAACCCACGCAGATATGGGGAGAATGTGCAAACTCCACACAGACCGTCACCTGAGGCTGGAATTGAACCTGGGTCCCTGGTGCTGTGAGGCAGCAGTGCTAACCACTGTGCCACCGTGCTGCCCAATGCTTTTAAAATGTCTTTTGAAAACTGGGTACCTCTGACAGTGCTGTGCACCTTCTGGTCAATGCATTGAGCTGCTGTAAGCCAATTTATGAAATTATTTGCAAGTGTATATTTTCCTTGACCACGCTGTAGCATCAGTGATTTACATATTCACTGATGACAACAGTGTTTCAGTATTCTGGACTGAATTACAAAAACAGTATTCCTGTATACTTTTGATGTGAAATTATTATATACCACTTTGCCACAGATTGGAATTGTTCTTCTAGGAAGCATAGGATAGCATTTATTTTACAGAAGTGTGCTGCTGAGGATTCTACTTGATGCTGTGGCTGTATGAACATTTGTGCCACAATACTTTGAGCAGTGATATTGCATTCTCGCCATAGTTTAAAATTTCATTGGAGTTGAAGCACTTCCTCACAAAATGGGAAGAATGACAATTGTCAGTGCACCTCTCAGTGCAGTCTTTCAGTTAATTGATGATGCTTGAGGAGATGTTTGTTAGAGTGGAAATTCCAAAGAAGTATTTTAAAGCTGCGAAAGGTTTAAAACAGTTTTAGATTTCAGACTCTGTTTGGTGTGCCAGACTGGTTAAAACAACAACTTGCACTAAAAGATATCACATAAATGTTAAGAATTTTAACACAGAAACAGGCACTCTGTGCAATCACTCCATATCAATGTTAACCCTTCACTCAAGTGTCCTCCCATCTTTGGTAATCTCAACCCACCATTGTTATTCTCTATTCCCTTCCCCTTATTACTTGTCTACCTTCCCCCTCACTTTAGCAATCCATTTCAACCACTCATTGTGATAGTAATTTCCACATTCCGTTAGGTGGTCAAAAGCTGAGTCAAAGTGGTAGGTTTGAATGAGTGATTTAAAGGTGGACAGAGAGAAAGAATTTTAATGTAAAATTCCAAAGCTTATGGTTTAGACAGTTAAAGATATGACTGTTGGTGTTCAGGTGTGGAAGTGGCGCATGATGAGGTCAGAAATATTCTTGGAGATCACTAGGAAGAGCAGGTCATGGAATGTTTTGAATGTGTAAATGAGAATTTTAAAATTATGATGCAACCAAACTAAGCCAGTGTGAGTTAGTGGTAATGTGTGAATGAAACGTGATGTGAGCCAGGATTAAGGCAGGAGAACTTTGCATGAATGAACCTTAAAGGATCGGAGATGGGAGGTTGGCAGGAAAGCATGGCAACTATTATAAAACAATTCTGACCCCTGATCTATTTGAGGCACTAGATAATAGCGGAATAAAAAATACTATGGTTTTTGTAATTGACCGTTTCATATTTTATTAGAATGCTTAAATGGATTCCAAAAGACAACAGTATGAAGACCTTGAAGTTGTGTGGCCAAGCTGAAACTTGCATTCTCGCTTGTTTACTTTGTTCTTTTATAAATTCTTCAGAATTGCAAGTGGAACAGACATGCAAGGATGACAGTGCTGCAACTTTCCAACAGTCCCTGCCAGACCTCACCCCTGATGAGCCCTCGGAAGCGCTGACCTTCCCGACTTCTGGAAAAGAGGAGTCGGACAGCCCAAGCAAAGATCTGAGTAGGAAGCTTGATGAGCTGACCACGGCTGAGCTCCAAGAAGTGCCCTCCACACCACCACCTGAGCAGGTGCCAACGCCACCAGCTGAGGACATGGCAGATGCAGCTAGCGATGAGTCTCCCAGCAAGTCACCTTCGAAGAAGAAGAAAAAGTTCCGCACTCCTTCCTTCCTGAAGAAGAACAAGAAGAAAAGCGAATCCTAAAAAAAATTTAGTCTTTACCTGGGGAAGGCAGGATGCCCTCATTTTGCAGACCGATTCTAATTCATTTTTAGAATGTACAAGGTTGTATTGTTTAGTGTTATGTCTTATTAAAAACATCCATGTAACGGAATGCAAAGAAACGTCTAGTATAGCTTGATTGATATGGAAAGTGACAGGACATTTTTTGACATAAAACAAAAAAAAGGTGCTAATCCTTTCAGTGCAGTAGGTGCAACCCGCTAAGTGTTTAATTGCAGCATGGTTTACCACTTTGGGGTGAGGTAGAAGAATAATGAAACCAGAGGAAGCCTTTTTTTAACACGATTATATTGTAATGATGAATTAATTGCTTTGTCGATGTAATATGCAGATATTGTAGTAATGACATAAATTTTACTACAGGTGAGACATCCTGTGACTGTTAAATACCAGCCATCTGCAATGCTGCCTAAATGGTGTGGGGATGTGTTTTAAAGGAAGGTTATTACATGTGACTTGTAAATTGGCACAGATCATGAGTTGCTTACTTTATAAATGAAAATGAATGCTGTAGGTAAATTGCTGAATCATGACTATCATCTTTTCAGTTTCAGGCAAATTTCTCTCCTTGGTTTGTCTGTGCACAATTTTTAAAGCAATTGTTGACTGCAGCCCATTGGTAAACTTGGTACGGGATCTGTCAACAATGCTTGGTTCTATCCTGGGAATTGTCACACAATGAGTTTCCACTTTTGGATATTTCTCGGAGCGAGGTGGTCGGCATGACCAATCTTCATTGTTTTGTGTTCAGGAGCTTAACATGAACTGGTTGAGTGGATCTGGTGACTCACTCACCCATTTTTGTTTGCTACACCAGTCAAAGTACATTGTGTGGTTGTTTGGAAGGGAGGGGAAAAAAGGTACACAACATACCTGTATTTTACTAACAGAAGAGTTAGATCCAGCTGATGGTAAAGTCGTGCTTCAATGCTGGAATTGTATGTAAAACAAAATTAAGACTTGCATTTATATAGTATTCTATTGTATCTCTAGAGAAACCGCTCCAATTATTTTGAAGTGCAGTGATTGTTTATGTAGGTATATGTGGCATTTAAAGGATGTTTCATTTAGCTGGGAATTCTGTGTAATGGCTAACATGTTGTGTCCCTTTTTTAATATATTGCTTTGAAATGTAACAGATTCAGCAACAGAGTTATTATGTTTCTAAGATTTGATGCCTGAAAGAGAAATTGGATAGAAAGGAGAGGGTCAATTTTTGCCCTGTGCCAAGGCCCTACTCTGTTACTAATGGAGGAAAATAAATTCATAAAATCCTACAATGTGAACAATACAAATAAAAGCCACTTGAGGCCTGTTTTTAATAAGGCAACAGCCAAAGCTACTTGGAATATGCCATGTACATGCTGCCTGACCCATCCTATCTTCACTAAACAAGGAGAGGAACAATCTCTGCAGAATGTCCTTAATTCTTTGTCGTGATACTGGATATGAAAAATTCACAATTTTACATAATTAAAACACATGGTCTATTTCTTGCAACTGATGTTCTCATAATCTTAATTTCTCCAATAAATATGGAGACGATTGCTTTTAAAACTTCTGAACAGTAACATAAGATTGGTGGAAACCTACACAATCCACTGGGGAGGTATTGGTGTACATAAATTACATCATTTGGCGCTAACCGCCTACTCCCTCTACACAGAAAACTTCAGGCACCACTGCCTATGGTTTCTGGCTGAAATTCCTTCATCCCCAGTGGGGAAGCCTTGGTTCGGGTATCTGTAACTTTTATGCTGGAGACTTAACAATGTGGTTCACATGTTGAAGCCCAGCTGCTGACTTCCCCTTTCAAAGCAGGTCTGCTGGTGGGTTGAGGCAGGGCCATAGTGGAAGTGGCAGCAAATCAAAAAGCAAGGAGTATGTTTTGCAAATAAGATATGTAACGAGGACTGCATGGCATTTCTGGCTTTCCGCTTGTATTTTACCCTTGTATGACTTCTGTACACCAAGCAATTTTAAGCTCATTTTTGTTAAACAGTTAGAATTGTCAGACTTGAATATTAACCACATGCCATCTCTAATTATTCCAGTTTTGATTCTTGTTTCAGTTCTTAATCATCTCCACTTATATAAAAGATTTGTAAACTCTGATTTTTATTCTCTTTCCAATTCTTCTACCACTACATGAAGTAAAAGAATTTATTACTTTTGAAGAAATTTATTAATTTTGTTTTTTTAAGTTCCATTGTAACATTTTTGAGTTTCACTTATGAATAAATTTTTTTCTTTAAACCTTAAAATGTAATACTGTTTCTTTCATTTGAGGCAGGGACATTATTGATCATTTTTCAATAGAGAGAAATAAAAGACAAAACACCCAAGCATCCTGCTGACAGACCAACCCGTGCTGCTCTAGAATAGTTACCATGAAGTGAGGGAGGAAACAGTTCTGGTTTTAACCCTCAGCTGGGTAGGAGGATTTAAAAGCACAGAAACATGAAATTAAAGATAGAAACTGAAATTCCACAAGCTTGCCCTAGTCTTCAAAGGCGAAAGACATGCTCTGAAAACACTCGGCTCTCTCTCCAGCAGGAGGGAGCCCCCTTTTTAACAGCACTGCAGTGTACGTACACCACATAGGCTTTAGTAATTCAAGATGGTGACTCATTACCATGTTCAAAAGGAATTAGGCTGTAGGGAAGGTGACATCTCATGAATGAAGACATGAAAGTGCAAAAGGTTAGCTAAATCATGAGGTAGCAATATACCAGTTAAACCAGAACACACGGTATTGGACACAGGCTAAAATAACAGGAAACTAGTTGGGGAATGTCGAGGGAAAATGAGTTCACACCAGACATTGGTGTGGAACAAAATTTCCCAAGACTGGGGGACACAACAGGGGACGCGAGTTAAAATGAGGGCACAAAACTAGTAGGTCAAAGAAAATTGCAACAGAAGGCAAAAATAACGAAACATATCAAGGGATGAACAAAAGACAAATTTAGGACTGAGAAGAAGTCCATTCTTCACAATAGAATGAATTCTAGGTAGGGCAGTGGAGACAAGAACCTGGAATCATGTAATAAACTGCTTGCTGTCATTGGAAAGAAGAATGTTACTGTATGAATGAGTTTAGATAGCCTCCTCGAGCTTTGTTATGAAGACGGTGTGCACAGACAAATAAATTAAGTGAAAGTTTATAAATTGGTGTACAAAACAGTGCAACTACAGTATTTCAGTTTGATATCAAAATACAGCAAGACAGCCACAGTATACATGTACGTTTATCATTTTAGTTTTAAGATGTAATGGCAAATTTTATATGGGGACTTGGTTTATGATTAATCCCACAAGTTTATATATTACGTATTTCACTTTGAAACCTGTAATTTCAATGCAGTTGAAGCTTTTTGACAACACCGCAATAATAGGAATTCAAAACAGTTGCTGCATGAGGCTGTATTGTCAAATCATTCTTTGGTATTGATTACACTAACAGGTTTAAAAACAGACAAAATACTGCAGATGCTGGAAATACTCAGCCGTCTGTACGGTGTATTTGGAAAGAGACAGAATCAGGCATTTACACCACGCAAAGGAAGGAATGTTAGATGAAGTGACTAACAGCTTTGCATGAAAGGTAGGTACAGCATTCAGGAGGGTGTTAAAAGAGGTAGAGGGCAGAAGTTGAGAGAGAATTTGAGCTTAAAATTTAGATAGCTGATGGCATGATCATCAATTGTGGGATGAGAAATGATGGTGAAGCAGTGCCTAAGTAAGGTTTTGGAATTAGGCCTAAGAAGGCACATTTACCATTGCTTAGGTAATGAAGGTACAAATAGCTGAAGCTCTGCAAACTAGACTAATCCCATGTCCATTCCTCTTGTCAATTATGGCAATGATGTACAACTTTGAAACAGTACACAGTTTGTAAGTATTTTTGCAAGAGGAGGAGGAGATACAATTTACAAAATCACCATGGTCTTTCGATACAATCTTGTTCATACTGAGATTCTCAATTCCTTCAAAAGGAGGTCAGCATTTGATAAATGTATCACTCCCGATCCCATCTCTGGTACATTCCTTTCATAGTCGCCTAGTCATTTGCCTGTTCAGGTTTTCAACTGTTAGCACTAAACACTAATATCCTGCATTAATTTTCAATGGATTCAGTATTGGATAGCATCTGCAAATCTTAATGCCAGTGAATAGAAAACTTTGAGGTATAACAATAATGATATAGATCTTGCTGCTCTATTAGCAACATGCCTCAGATCCTACTCTATCTCTGAAACTGATGGGGAAAATGGTATTCTGTCTGTCCATACCTAGGTGCAAATAGGTTCAGACAGATCCAAACTCCTCTCCAACAGGATATTACAGGCAGCAACCAAGCTAAAGATAAACAATGAACCCAGAACTGAAGCACAGATACTGCGGATGCTGAAGAAAAACAAGGAATGCTGGAAACACAACAGGTCAAAGCAGCATCAGTGGTGAGAGAAATGTGTTACCATTTTAGTTTGATGACTTTTATTAGAAGTAGAGTTGGAGGATGCATTACCTAATCTTCCAAATTATAGCTTTTAACTGTGATAAAGCCAAACCTCCATTAAAGTACTGGAAAAATTAGCACAGTCCCACCCAAGGAGCAAAGTATAAATGACGCACAAGTGGCTATTAAAAACCTTTGACCATATTGTTACCATTGTTAAACTCTGTCAACTCATTTACTGTGGAACTGTTCACTATACTCTCAATGTTAAGCTACACATTACCATTGTACTTCTTTGTTAAAACATTTTTTTTCTGATATGCAGTTGCTTGTATACTTTATTGCCTGCTTTAAGATTTCTTTAAAGACTGCTGTTGTTCCAAGTGCGAATCCAGTGCAGTCCTCACTAAGGTTTACATGGCCAGTTCATTTCTTCTGGTCCTCATTCTGTTTTCTTCACTTTGGGAATTGTAAGAAGTGCAAGCGGGATCAGGAAGGTGAAGCTGGTGACGGTGAAACAAACCTCTGCCCCTGTCAGCCAGTAAACTGCAGGCAAAACAGAAGAATGTTTAATCTCTTTACGACCTTTGCCTCCCATTAGCTGCAACACAAACATCACACCTGCAACAGGCCACATTTGAGCAGAAAAATTGCAAACTTGCAATTGATCAACTGCAATTCAAGTCCTGAATTTATAAAATATAAGCATAAAAATGCTACTCTCAGGTGTTCTTGCACTATTCCTTGTTTTCAGATTCCTTTCATAACCTCACCCTACATACAATTGGTGCTTCTCCAAATCTGCCTGCTTTGTACATCATCGATTTTAGAATTATAGAGTCCCTACCATGTGGAAAAAGGCTATTCGGCCCATCAAGTCAGCACTGACCCTCCGACAAGCATTCCACCCAGAACCAGACCCTATCCCTGTAACCCTGCATTTATACAATGGCTAATCCACCTAGCCTGCGCATCCCTGGACACTACGGACAATTGGCATAGCCAATTCACTTACTGGACTGTGGGAAGAAACCAGTGCACCCGGCGTAAACCCACGTAGACACTGAAAAAAGATGCAAATCGGAGGCTGGAATCAAACCTGGTGCTGCAAACCACTGTGCCACCCTGTACTTGTTATACTTTATTAATTAATAGTCATCCAACATGGAATCAAACCCTTCAGTCTAACCAGTCCATGCTGACCATAATCCCAAACTAAACTATTCCCACCTGTTTGTATTTGGTCCATTTCTCTCCAAACATTTCTTATTCATGTACTTATCTAGATGTCTCTTAAATGTTGTAACTGTACATGCATCGACCACTTCCTCTGCCAATTCATTCCTACTTGTTATGGTTCAGCAACCTTGACCCTAGCTCTGGAATTTCCTCCATTTCCCAAACTTCTCCCACCTTTATCATCATTTCTGTTTTACTCCAGGTATGATCATTGATTATTTGAGGGGGAGAAAATACAAAAGAACTGCAGATGCTGGAAATCAAAAACAAAAGCAGAAATTGCTGGAAAAAAGTTAGCAGGTCTGGCAGTATCTGTGGAGGGAAATCAGAGTTACTGTTTTGGGTCCAGTGACCTTTCTTCAGAACAGTTCTAAAGAAGGGTCACTGGACCCGAAAGGTTAAAATTGATTATTTGAGATTTGCTAACCTACAATTTCTGCCATAATTTTGCTATGTGAGAGGGCCAGAAGGCAGGCTGTATTTTGGGACAATTTACTACATTAAAGGCCCTACATAAATCCAAGTAGTAGCCATTTGCAATCCTTCTGGGGAGATTAACAACTCTAGTATGTGCTTAATTTTTCCCTTGGCTTAAATTTGTACCGTTTGTACAATGTTGAGGTTTGCATTGAAAACTAAAAAGTCCTTTGGTCAGTAGACAGCCTAATGTTTTTTAACTAACACATTTTATTTTAACCTCATCATTTAAATAAATAACAATTATTTAAGTGTTTGTATCTAAGTGTTTGTAAACTTATCCCTAAAAGTAATTATCACTGCAATAATATATTAGCCTATTGTTTAAAACAAAGTCATATGTTAATTATAAAAAGAGTACATTGGAACAGTTCTGGTTTTATGAACACCTTTAATTGTCATCCCAATTCTCTTCAGCTGTCTAGATCCTACACTTTAGAATTCCCCAACTTTCCTTCTCCTGATCTCCTTCACCACTGACACACAATAGCAGCAATATATACTTCCTGCAAAATACATATATAGCAATATATACTATCTGCAAAAATTTATGCTTTTGACAGTGTGCAATACTATGGCTTTATGTGATAAAAACCAAAAGAACTGCGGATGGTGTAAATCAGGAACAAAAACAAAGTTTTGAAAGTTTCAGAACTGTTCTGAGGAAGGGTCACCGGACCTGAAATGTTAACTCTGATATTTTCTTCACAGATGCTGCTGAGCTTTTCCAGCAACTTTGTTTTTGTTCATGGCTTTATGTGATTCGGGTTGAAGCATCTGAGACATTTTACTGCAGTAAAAATGGTATATAAATAAGTGGTACATGTTTAAAGCAATCTGTACCTTTACTACAGACTGGAGCATAAACTTCATCTGCTTTCTGAAATCCCAATTTGGACTCCTGACATTCATAATAGTATTCAGCACCAAATTTCACCCTAGTATTTACCCTTAATGGTAAGACTGATTTAAACTTTACAAGTCACTCAGCTCCTGATCCCAGTGCAGCTTCGGTTCAATGTGGACAAAAGAGCTAACTCCAGAGGTGCGAGTGACTGCCTTAGACATCAAGGCAGAGTTTGATTGAGTATGGCATCATGGAGCTCCAGCAAAACTAGAATCAGAGGGTAAACTCTTTTCTGATTGAACTCATAACTAGCAGAAAGGAAGATAATTGTGGTTGTTGGGAGATACCCTGAGGACATTACTCTGAGGAATTCCATGTAGTTGTGTCCTAGGCCCAAACATCTTCAGCTGCTTGATCAATAACCTTTCATGGTAAGGTCAGTGGGGATGTTCGCTGACGATCACACAATGTTCAGCACCATTCCCAACTCCTCGGGTATTGATCCAGCCTGTGTCCATATACAGCAAGACCATGCTTGGGTTGATCTGGGTAAGTAACATTCGTACCACTCAAGTGCCAAGCAATGACCTTCTCCAAAAGATAATCCCCACTATCAACATCCTGGGAGTTACCATTAGCCTGAAACAGAACTGGAGCAACTATAATACATACCATAGATACAGGAGCAGGTCAGAGGCTGTCCACTATCTACAAGGCGTAAGTCAGGAGTCTGATAGAATAGTCTCCACTTGCCTGGATGTGTACAGTTCGAACAACACTGAGGCTTGACATCATCCAAGACAAAATAGCCTACATAATTGGCACCGCATCCATAAATATTTATTCCATCACTGAAGCTCAGTAGCAGCAGTATGTACTATGTACAAGGTGCACTGCATTCATTCACTGAGGCACCTTTGACAGCCCCTTCCAAACACATGTCCTTCTAGGTGAGAGAGGTAAAGGGAGCAGATAGATGGGACAACCACCACCTGCAAGTTCCCTTCAAAGCCACACATCATCCTGATTTGGAACTATGTTGCTGTTTCTTCATTGTTGGTGGGTCAAAATCCTGAAACTCCTTCCGAACACCACTGTGAATCTGCCCATTTTCCAAGGATTCCAGCGGTTCAAGGCAGCTGACCACCCCCCAACAACTTGTCAAGGGCAATTAGGGAGGGGCAACATATACTGGCCCTGCCAGCAACACCCACATTCCTTGAGTAAGAAAATAAAATTTCTCACCAGTAGCTGCCATGACTGGTCCCAAAGCTCGAGCCAAAGCTCCAAGACTGCGAAGAATTCCCATCACAGTTCCTTTTTGATTAGCTGCACCTAAGTTGGAAACAAAGTCCTCATCTTATTGCAATTTCGTGTTTTTTTCCCTTGTCCACAGCCAATTTTCTCAAGCTCCTCCTTTAAATTATATCAGTGACTTACTGAGAGGAGTGAAGGCATGGTGACTAAAATTGCAGATAACACAAATATAGGTGGGACAGCAGTGAAGGTGACATAACAAGGATGAAGTCCAAGATAGATAGGTTATGAAAGTAGGCAAAAATCTAGCATATGGACTATAATATAAGAAAATGTGAAGTTGTTCACTTTATCAGGCAGTTTTTTTAAAAAAATCTAAACGGTGAGAGACTGTATTTTTCCAAGGTGCAGCGGGATCTAGGTGTTCTAGCGCAAAAGGTTAGTATGTAGGAACAGCAAGTATTGAGAAAGCCTAACTAATGCTTTTCCTTATAATGAGAGGTATTGAGCATAGAAGTAAAGATATTCTTATGCAGTTTTGGACTCATTATCAAGGAAGGATGTAGATGTGTTGGAAGCACTTCAGAGGAGGTTTTCCCAATTGATACTTGGAATGAATGAGTTGTTTTACAAGGCAAAATTGGATAGGCTTGGCTTTCTTCTAAAACTTTAGTGAAAACAGTGAAAAGTGATGTGAAATTTATCAGATCCTGAATGGTTTTGACAAGGCTGACATGGAAAGGATGCTTTCTCTTGTGGGCAAGTCCAAAACAAGGGGGCGCTCTTTCAAAATTAAAGGTCAACCCTTTCAAGATAGATATGAGGGGATTTTGTTTTCTCTGAGGGCAATGCCATTTTGGAATTCTCTGCTTCAGAAGCTGGTGGATGTGAGGTCATTTAATATTCTTATAGCAGGTAAATAGATTCCTGTTATGCAAAGAGAATCAAAGGTTATTGGGGATAGATGGGAATGTGAAATTTGGAACTCAAACAGATCAGCCATGATCTTACTGAATGATGGAGCAGAATTTGAAAGGATGAATGGCCTATTTCTGTTCCTAATTTGTATGTTCATATTGTATTAAATTTCTTCTTAAATGTTAGCATCAACTTAACTGGCAGCACACTCTTGAATCAGGTAATCATGAGCATATAAATAGGAGCAGTAGGTGGCCATCTGGTTCCTTAACTAAAACCAAGGCTCATATGTATTTTGCCTCATTTCCCCCACTCCCCAATCCCTAGATTCCCTTAAACTCTAAAATCAACTCAACAGTTATATGCTGTAAAATTCCAAACATATACCACCCTTTCAGTGAGGAATATCTTTCTTATCTCAGTCTTAAATGGCTAACTCCATAGCCTGAGATTACAACCCTTAAATTCTGGATTTTCAAGTAAAGGGAAATAACCTGTTGTACCTGGAATGTGGTTTCCACCAATATTACACCTTCAAGTCACATCAGATTGAGAGAGCCCTTACCCACTGCATACAGAGATTTCTACTGAAAATTTTCAATTTCAGGAGGAAATAGGGAAGGTGGAATCAAGGTAAAATTGTTTAAATTTTTTTTATAAATCATTAATATTAGGGGATATGGGGTAAAGGCAGCTAAGCAGTATCAGGACACAGCTCAGATAGTAGTCTCATTCAGCAGTAAAATAGGCATAGTAGCATAATGGTCATGTTACTCAATTAGTAATAAGTCTAGGTTAACTGTCTGAGGATCCAAAATCAACTCCCTCCTAATGGAATTCTAACTCATTAAACAAACGATAGTTACAGAAATCCATCTGGATCAGTAATTGCCCTAATCTGACCGTTACGTGACTCTAAACCCAGTACAATATAGTTGGCTCTAAAATGGTCCTATGAAATGGTCCAGCAGGCCACTCAAAATCACACTAACACTGTGGGACTGTTCTCACTACATAGACTGCACAGTTTAAGAAAGTGGCTCCGCACCATCTTCAAGAGCAATTAGCAATGGGCAATAAATGCTGGCCTTGTCAGTGATGTCCACATTCCATATTTGAATTTTTTTGAAAAGGGCTAAGCACTCCCTCTGTTCCTATAATTGTCAATATTCTGAGGAGCACCAAAAAAAAATTCAAGATGCAACAATGTAAACATCAATAACAACAGAAAAAGCAATTGAATATGACGGATAGATGCAAGTTTCAGAATTTATTTCTAAACTTTGGAACAATCCAGGGAGAAGCAAACGATCCTTTCTGCTCCTCCCCCATTCCTATGGTCAAAGCACTGAAAAGTGGTGGAGTCTTGGTTGGATCTACAAAGTGCAGCTTTTATGCACACTTACCATATCCTGACACCACAGCAGACAGGCAGGGAATGACTATCGCAGCAGCTGGAATAAGACAAGAAAAAAATCACATGAATATCGTTCTGAACGAAAACATGAATATCATTCTGGACTTGCTCTGTTCTTTCACCCTGCACTGAAGGTTCCTTCCACTCCTCACTGTACAAGGTTGGGGAGCCAGTAAGGCATCCCGACCATCACATGGAAATAATCAGCCACAGAATGACAGAGTTTTAATCAATCTGCAAATCCTGCCCATTTCCTCCAGCCATTTCTCTTCAAGGCAAGACTGCAACAAAAAACTTCTGACTTAACACTTCAATGTCAGGTTTTATCCAGAAGGGAAATGAGAAGCAATGATTTTTTAACCAGCCAGTTATCATGATCAGGATTGTACTGCCTCATGGGGAGGTGATGGCCTAGTGGCATTATCACTGTATCATTAATACAGAGACCCAGATAATGTTCTGGTGAGCTGGGTTCAAATGCTGCCATGGCAGATGGTGGAGTTTGAATTCAATAAAAATCTGGAATTAAGAATCTAATGATGACCGTTAATCCATTGTTGATTGTTGGAAAAATCCATCTGTAACTCTGATGTCCTTTAGGGAAGGAAACTGCCATCCTTACCTGGTCTGGACTACATGTGACTCCAGACCCACAGCAATGTGGTTGACTTTTAAACTGCCCTCTGGGTAACTAGGGATGGGCAATAAATGCTGCCTAGCCAGTGACGCCCTCATCCCATGAAGGAATAAAGAAAAAAAAAGTATGGTAGAGGGAGATTCAATGGTAACTTCCCAAAGGAAACCAGAGAAGAAAGGAATGGTTGCCAGGGAATGTACCAGGGGAATAGGACAAACTGGGCATGATGGGCTGAACGGTCCTTCGCTACACAAAATTTTTTTTTTGTTCTTAGGATGCGGGTATACTGTCTGGGTTAAAATCTATTCCCTAGTTGCGCTTGTGATGGTGGTGGGCTGCCTTTTTGAACTGCTGCCGTCCGCGTGCTGTAGGTGGATACACAATGCCCTTAGGGAGGGAATTTTAGGATTTTGACTCGGTGACAGTGAAAAAACAGCAATATTTTTCCCAGTCAGAATGTTCAGTGGCTTGGAAGGGAACTGGCAGGTGGTGATGTTACCATGCATCGGCTACCTTTGTCCTTCTAGATGGAAGTGGTCATGGAAGGTGCTGTCTGAGAATCCTTCGGAATTTCTACAGTGCATCTTGTAGATAGTTCACACTTTTGTTACTGAGCATCAGTGGCGGAGGGAATGAATGTTTGTTAATTTAGTGCCAATCAAGTGGGTTGCTTTTCCCAGATGGTGTCAAGCTACTTGAATGTTGTTGGAGCTGCACCCATCCAGGCAAGCAGGGAGTATTTCATCACATTCCTTGTGCCTTGTAGATGTCGACAGGCTTTGGGAAGTCAGGAGGTAAGTTACTCACTGAAAGACTCCTAGCCTCTGACCTGCTCTTGTACACACAGTGTGTATATGGCTAGTCCAGTTCAATTTCTGGTCAATGGTAACCCCCAGGATGTTGATACCATTATGACACTTGCACTAAATTATGACATTCAGAGAGCAAAGCACACTTAAAACAAATGCAGAAATTCATTTTAGATTGATTGCAGGATATCCAACATTGTTCTATGACCTCCTCCAGTTGACTGACCTGCTGTATTCGCAAAGGAAAAATGTTTGCTTGTGAAAATATACCAGAGATGACCGGTGGAGAGCAGTATTTAATTACCCAAGGGCCACCCTTTGAGTTTTCCAGAAGAATTATCATCCAATCCAATAGCACAGAGATGGGCCATTCATCCCATCAGGTCCGTGCCAGCACATTGAAAATGCTATCCAAGTTAATGCCACATGCCTCCTTTCCCATCATAACATTCAAAATTAGTTCTGATCATGTAAGCACCCATTGCCTTTTCAAAAATTGTTATGAAATCCAACTTCAGCACCCTTTTTAGAATTGAATGATCTCCTGTGTGAAAAAATTTCTTCTCAGTTCGCCTTAGGTTCTTTACCCAATTTAAATCCATGTCCCTTGGTGACCAACTCATTTGCTAAAGGAAAATAGTTTCTCTCTGCTACTTGCTCTAAAAAGACCTCATAGTTTTGAAGGTAGTAGGAACTGCAGATGCTGGAGAATCTGAGATAACAAGGTGTACAGCTGGATGAACACAGCAGGCCAAGCAGTATCAGAGGAGCAGAAAAGCTGACGTTTCGGGCCTAGACCCTTCTTCAGAAAGGGGGGAGGGGAAGGGGGTTCTGAAATAAATAGGGAGAGAGGGGGAGGCGGATGGAAGATGGATAGAGGAGAAGATAGGTGGAGAGGAGACAGACAGGTCAAAGAGGAGCGGATGGAGCCAGTAAAGGTGAATGTAGGTGGGGAGTTAGGGAGGGGATAGGTCAATCCAGGGAGGACAGACAGGTCAAGGGGGTGGGATGAGGCTAGTAGGTAGGAGATGGGGGTGGGGCTTCAGTGGGAGGAGGGGATAGGTGGGAGGAAGGACAGGTTAGGGAGGCGGGGACAAGCTGGGTTGGTTTTGGGGTGCAGTAGGGGGAGGGGAGATTTTGAAGCTTGTGAAGTCCACATTGATACCATTGGATTGCAGGGTTCCCAAGCGAAATATGAGGTGCTGTTCCTGCAACCTTTGAGTGGCATTGTTGTGGCACTGTAGGAGGCCCAGGATGGACATGTTGTCTGAGGAATGGGAGAGGGAATTGAAATGGTTCGCGACTGAGAGGTGCAGTTGTTTAGTGCGAACCCAGCGTAGGTGTTCCGCAAAGCGGTCCCCAAGCCTCTGCTTGGTTTCCCCGATGTAGAAGAGGCCACAACGGGAACAGCGGATACAGTATACCAAATTAGCAGATGTGCAGGTGAACATCTGCTTGATGTGGAAAGTCATCTTGGGGCCTGGGATGGGAGTGAGGGGGGAGGTGTAGGGGCAGGTGTAGCACTTCCTGCGGTTGCAGGGAAAAGTGCCGGGTGTGGTGGGGCTGGAGGGGAGTGTGGAGCGGACAAGGGAGTCACGGAGAGAGTGGTCCCTCCGGAAAGCAGATAAGGGTGGGGAGGGAAAAATGTCTTTGCTGATGGGGTTGGATTGCAGATGGCGGAAGTGTCGGAGGATGATGCGTTGGATCCGGAGGTTGGTGGGGTGGTACGTCAGGATGAGGGGAATTCTGTTTTGGTTGTTATTGCGGGGAGGGGGTGTGAGGGATGAGTTGCAGGAAATGCGGGAGACACGGTTGGTGGGGTGGTACCTTATCTGCTTTCCGGAGGGACCACTCTCTCCGTGACTCCCTTGTCCACTCCACACTCCCCTCCAGCCCCACCACACCCAGCACTTCTCCCTGCAACCGCAGGAAGTGATACACCTGCCCCTACACCTCCCCCCACACCTCCTCCCTCACCCCCATCCCAGGCCCCAGGCCCCAAGAAGACTTTCCACATCAAGCAGATGTTCACCTGCACATCTGCTAATGTGGTATACTGTATCCGCTGTTCCCATTGTGGCCTCCTCTACATTGGGGAAACCAAGCAGAGGCTTGGAGACCGCTCTGCGGAATACCTACGCTCGGTTCGCACTAAACAACTGCACCTCGCAGTCTTGAAACGTTTCAACTCACCCTCCCATTCCTCAGAGGACATGTCCACAACGATGCCACCCGAAGGTTGCAGGAACAGCACCTCATATTTCGCTTGGGAACCCTGCAGCCCAATGGTTTAAATGTGGACTTCACAAGCTTCAAAATCTCCCCTCCCGCTACCGCATCCCAAAACTAGCCCAGCTTGTCCCTGCCTCCCTAACCTATCTTTCCTCCCACCTATCCCCTCCTCCCACCTCAAGCCCCACCCCATCTCCGACCTACTAGCCTCATCCCGCCCCCTTGACCTGTCTGTCCTCCCTGGACTGACCTATCCCCTCCCTAACTCCCCACCTACACTCACTTTTACTGGCTCCATCTGCACCTCTTCGACCTGTCTGTCTCCTCTCCACCTACCTTCTCCTCTATCCATCTTCTATCCGCCTCCCCCTCTCTCCCTATTTATTTCAGAACCCCCTTCCCCTCCCCCATTTCTGAAGAAGGGTCTAGGCCCGAAACGTCAGCTTTCCTGCTCCTCTGATGCTCCTTGGCCTGCTGTGTTCATCCAGCTCTACACCTTGGTTATCTCATAGTTTTGAACACCCTCTTGAACTTCCACTCAGTTTTCTCTACTCTATCCCTGTTTTTTCTCTCTACATAACTGTAGTCCCTCATTCTTATAGCAGAACAGTGCTCAATGGTGTGAGTAGAGACCTAACCAGTCAACTTTGGAACCAGAATACAAAAGGCCAGAGCTCTGAAAGTTGCTCTAGTTCATCAGTACTTCTTGGGCATCTTGAACATGCCTTCTCCAGTGTGGAATAAAAAGATTGTATAATTGGAATTTGACAGATGAAAGCTGAACCAGGAAAGATAGACCTGAGTACTGTGGAGAGACAGAAGAAACTGGGGTTATTCTCCATACAGCAAAAAAGATAAAGGGGAGAATCAATGGAGGTGTTCAACATGATATGTGATTTTGATCAATCTCAAGTTAGAACCTTCACAGTCTTCATTTTTCCCATTCAATAACATCTTTCCTTATTAATTCTTTCCTGTGATGTGTGTGTTGCTGGCATGGGCAGCATTTGTTACATTTCCATACTTGCCCATTATTCAAATGAGCAAGGGATAAACCAGGCAAATTACAGGTCACTCAGTCTAACCTCAATGGTGGGGAAACTACTGGAAGTAGTTGAGGGACAGAATTAATCTGCATTTGCGAAGGCAGGGATTACTCAAGGACAACCAACATGGCTTTGTTAAGAGGAGGTCATGTCTGACCAACATGATTTAATTTTTCGAGGTGACCAAAGCGTGTAGACGAGGACAATGCTTTTGATGTAGTTTATTTGGACTTCAGCAAGGCTTTTGATCAAGTCCTGCAGGGACTGATATTGAAGGGCCATGGGATCCAAGGAAATTGGCAAATTGGGTCCACAATTGGCAAAGTGGTAGGAAGCAGATGGTGATGGCCCAGTGCTGTTTTTCCAACTGGAAGTCTGTGCCCAGTACAGTCCACAAGGTTCAGTGATTGGGGCCCATGCTGTTTGTGGTTTGTATCAATAATTTAGCCTTGAATGTAGGAGGGTTGATCAGTAAGTGTAAAGATGCTGGTGAATGATAAATAGTGAGGAGAATGGCCTTAGACTACTGGAGGATATAGAAGGGTTGGTAGGGTGGGTTGATCAATGGCCAATGGAATTCAATCTAGTGCACTTGGGCAAGACAAACAAGGCAACAGAACACGTGATGAATAGTAGGATCCTGGGAAGCACCAAGGATAAGAGGGACAAAAGCAGAAATTTCTGGGAAAACTCAGCAGGTCTGGCAGCATCTGTGGAGAGAGAGCAGAGTTAATGTTTCGGGTCCAGTGACACTTCAGTGCATTCTGACAAAGGGGCACTCAAACCGAAACATTAACTCTGTTTTTTCTCCACAGATGCTGCCAGGCCTGCTGAATTTTCCCAGCAACTTCTAATTTCCAGCATCCGTAGTTCTTTGGATTTTTGTGGAGGATCAGAAGGACCTTGGTGTGCATGTATATTGCTCCCTTAAGGTATCAGGACAGGTGGATAAAGTGGTCAAGAAGGCATACTTAAACTCTATGTCTTGATTAACATAGTTAAGAGCAGGGAGTTTATGCTGGAACTGGATAAAATGTTGGTTAGACAACAGCTAGAGTATTGTTTGCAATTCTGGAATCCACATTATAGGAGGGATGTTTCTGCATTGGAGAGGGTACAGAGGAAATTTACCAGGAGGTTGCCTGGGCTGTAGAGTTTCTGTTATGAAGATTGCATAAACTGGGGCCGTATTCCTTATAGAAGAGGAGATTGAGGGAGGACATGATTTAGATGTATAGATGATGAGAGTCATAGACAGGAAGAAACCTTCCCCGTGATGAAGAGATCAATGACTGGGATGATAGTTTTTAAGGTAAGAGACAGAAGGTTCAGAGGAGATGTGGAGAAAAACTTTTTCACCCAGAGGGTGGTGGGAATGTGGAACTCCCTGTTGTAAGGGTGGGAGAGGCAGAAACCCTCCTAACATTTAAGAAGGATTTAGATAAGCACTTGTGAGGCTAAGACATACAAGGGTATGAGCCAAGTGCTGGAAAACAGGAATAGAATAATTAAATGGCTGCTTTTGACTGGCATGGATGTGATGGGCCTAAGGGCCTGTTTCTGTGCTGTAGACCTCTATGATTCTACGAACTGAGTAGCTGTCATTTCAGAGGGCAATTTACAATCAATCACATTGCTGTTGGTCTGGAGTCTCACGTAGGCCAGACCAGGTGAGGACAGCAGATTTCCTTCCTTAAAGGACGTTAGTGAACCAGATGGGTTTTTACAACCGTCAATGACAGTTTCACACTGAGACTCGCTTCACATAACAGATTTAAGAATTGAATTTTAAATTCCAGTAGCTTCCATGCTGGGATTTCGACCTATATCCCCAAAGCATAAGTCCAGACCTCTGCATTCCCAGTTTAATGACATCCCCAAAATGCGATCAAGTTCCCAATTATTGAAGAATAATCAGAGCAGAAGGTAATGTTGCACATAAGATCAGCGTATTACATAGCATTTACAGTTTAGCTGAACAGTTTCAAACCAGTGTTCATATTCCTCAGATTCTCCTCCAACCTTTCTGAATTTAGTCTGTGTCTTTCCATTTGATAAAGGAGATTGGAACAATTATCAATCTTCCCCTAAATGCATCTAGCTCACGTGCCATGTGATCATAAGTTCCATGTTCCATTCATAAATGCAGTGGTAGTGTCCCTATCTTTGGTAGCCAGGAGGTCCAGGTTCAAGTCCCAGCTGCTCCAAAAGTATGTAATAACATCACTGAACCGGTTGTTTAGAATGACCTATAATAGAATGCTGGAAATAGTCAGCAGGTCACTGCGCCTCAGGTGAAGGGGAGAGGTTGATAAGATGTTTACTTTCGTGGTAACCTCAGCCAGTGCAGGAATCAAACCTGTACTGTTGGGGCCACCCTGCATCACAAACCATCCATACAGCCAACTGAGCTAACTGACCTCCGATCATGCTAATAAACCTTTGCTGCACTTTCCCCAGTGTCACCACGTCCTTTTTTCACAAAGGACACTAGCTCTGTTCTGAAGTGTGGTGCATTCAAAGTCAACCAATGATCATCAATGCATCGGAGATGGAGTCAGAAGTCACATGACACCAGTTTATAGTCCAACAGGTTTATTTGGAATCACACAAGCTTTTGGAGTCCAGTCCCTTCATTGGGTGCACTGCGCTGCCTCACAGCGCCAGGGACCCGGGTTCAATTCCACCCTCGGGTGACTGTCTGTGTGGAATTTGCACATTCTCCCTGTGTCTGTGTGGGTTTCCTCCGGGTGCTCTGGTTTCCTCCCACATCCAAAGATGTGCAGGTTAGGTGGATTGGCCATGCTAAATTGCCCATAGTGTTCAGGGATGTGTAGATTAGGGGGATAGGTCTGGGTGGGATGCTTTTTGTGTCAGTGTGGACTTGTTGGGCCAAAGGGCCTGTTTCCACACTGTAGGGATTCTATTCTATGAAAACACCGGCACTCCCACATCAAAGAAGAAAGAGAGTGCCTCTTGGAGAGACAGGGCATTTTAGCCAGACTGATTAGCTGTGGGATGATGCTTTGTATTATGTAAAGTACCTCCCAGCCCTGTTGAAACAGAAGATTTGTTTCTTGGATCACAAGAGTTCCAGTGGTCTGCACCCTAAACTATCCTCTCTCTTAGTATTTTCTGTTCTTTTATTTGAGATCTTTTAAAAATATCTGATTAAGAACTGTAGCATTGATTGAAGCTTCACAATGAAACTTATCAAATAATCAAGTAGAAGGTTTTATTTCCCTGTAAGTTTTAGCTCTTCAAAACCTGCTGTCTGTATCATAACTCACATCATATATTCTCCATCCACCTACCTGCTCTGCTCACTGACCTCCACCAGCTCCTGGCCTTGATTTTAGAATCTTAATCCCCTTGTGTTCAAATTTTTCCAAGCCCCAATCAGTCCTTATCTCTGTCAGCTCCTACATCCTTTGGAGATGTCTACACTATTCCAGTTTCAACCTTCTGTGCTGTGGACAGCTGTGCCTTCAGCAATTCCCTCTCTGCCTCCCTTTCTTTCTTTTTAAGACACTGATTAAAACCCACCTCTTTGAACAAGGGTTCAGTCACCTGCTGGAAATCTCCATTTCTTACAGAATCTCAAGATCCTGGTCCTGGGACGCTCCTCGGGCTGTTTTATTGCATTAAAGACGTTCAGTTCACTTCAATAACTTACCGAATGAGTAGAAGAGGAGACCGATGTACAGGATAAGCACTGTGTTGGCCCAGCCAATGATAAGAAAAGCTGGAATCAGCAGGGCGATTGCCTGAAGAGAAATTATATGTCATGAGAAAAGGAGATCTTTTCTCTGCCGGAATTGCACTTAAATCAGCGCACGATATGGATTTTACGGTTCTCCCTCAGCATTGGCCTAACCGCCTACCACAGTCTTATCAGGAGGCATCTAATGGCCTTGCTGCCTTTGAGCAAACCGAGGCCCTTAAGAGACCAATTAATGGCTCCCCGTCACCAAATAGGGAGATTTAACCGGAGTTCCGAGCCTGGCAGCACAAGACGGAGTGCCACGCTTTCCTGTTGGCTCATCAGAAGTCATGCCACCTGCACCCTGTGCCCCCAAATCCTCTTATTCCCCTACCTCATCCTGTTGACCTAAACTGCCACCCCCCATGCCCTTCGCCCGGATCTTATAGTGTGGCACCTGCCACACCCTGGTTTCTCCTGCGCCTACCATCACCTCGACTCCAGGTGTCCAGGGGGTTTGCTGGTGTCCGAGTCTTAGCAAGGGTCACCATTTCTGTTCCCATGGCAGTGACCAGGGAGCCACGAGCTGTTCGACTGGCCAGCAGCCCTTTGAAGGTGAGAGGAGAGGAGGGGAGGGGAGGCGAGGGGAAGTGAGGAGAGAGGAGAGGTAAGGGAGAGAGAGGAGTGGACAGAAGGAATGGGGAGAGGAGAGAAGGAGAGGAGAGAGAAGAGGAGGTGAGCGGAGAGTTGAGGAGAGGAGGTGAGGGGAGAGGAGGGAGGCAATAGGAGAGTTGAGTAGAGGAAGTCAGGGAGGGGAGGAGAGAAGAAAAGGAGTGGAGGGGAGCATGGCTTTCCAGCCCCAAAGAAGTGACAATTCTCCCTGATTTCTCCAGTGGTTCAGGGAGTGGAACACAAGGGAGTTACAAAGAGCACGTCTGACTTACAAGCAAAGGGCCATAATGGTAGAGGAGGTCATTTTTTTTGGCCCATTTAGCCTGTGCTATTTGTCCACCCAACAACCCAGTGATACCATTTTCCTGCTCTCTGCCCATCCAATTTCCCTATGACATTCTCCTCTACTACAACCCTCACAGGCTCCAAGTTCCACTCAGTGCATAAAGAATGTTCTTCCTCATGTTCCTCCCTGCATCTTGTGCCCTAAACTTTAAACAGATGTCCTCTCGTCTTCAGGTTGATCAAACAGTTCATTTTGGTCTACTTTATAACTTCACGGAAACTTCTTTGCTCCGAGAAGAACAATGGTGTGGTTAAAATCTCTCATTGCTGAAATTATTCTGATAAATCTCCTCGAGCATTCTGACAAAGCATCTACAGCCAATACTCTCAGACCTGCCTCGGGTAGACAGTATTTTCCTTGAAAGAAATCGAGGAATATTTCCCTCCCCAACCTTAAATCCCATCTTCCTCCATCCAGCGCTTCCCAATTCCCTCCCTCCCACCACCATGCCCTTACTGCACTTTTTCACAAGCCATCCCTACCTCCCTTCCACTTCTCCTTCTAATTGCCAACAGTTTTTCAAGACCATCGCTGGGAGGCAGCTGGAAGAACAGGCACAGAATGCCTGAAACTACTCCCTCTCGGCCTGTGATTGGAGCCCAGATCTCCATCACTTACCCTCTTTACAGCTTTCACTTCATTGCCAGGCTGGATCCTTCGAGCATATCCACCCTGGACCAACGCCATTGTAATCCCCACAAAGAAGAACATCTTCCCTTGTTGCATACTGTTTGAAAAAAAAGAACAAAGATGGCACGGCAATCACAGAAACTGTGCAGAGAAAATATTTACTCAACAGCAAAATACATGAGGAACTAAATGGTGTCCTGAAAGATTCTGTGGGTGTCACTGACAGTGTTTATGTTTTGGAGGGCAATCAAGAATTAAGAACATAGGAACTAGCAGCAGGAGGTGGCCATTCAGCCCCTTGAGCCTACTCTGCTACTTAATACAATCATGGCTGATCTCACCTCAGCCTCAACTCCACTTTCCTGTCCACTCTCCATAACCCTTCCATCTTTTAGTGATTAAAACTCCGTCCACCTTCTCTTCGAATTTACTCAATGGCCCAGCACCCACCGCATTCTGGGGCAGTAAATTCCATGTGTTCACAATCGTATTGGTGTAGGACTGGAGTCACTTCCAACCCAGGGCAGGAGGCGCCTATTCGGCCCAACATGCCTGTACCAGCTCTCCGAATGAACAATTTCCTTAGAGGCTTTTGCCCTGCCTTCTCCCTGCACATTCCCCCCTTTTACAATTCACACTCTGTTTGAATGCGGTGGATTAACCTGCCTGGACCACACTCTCGGACAGTCAATTCCAGGCTTTCTCCACTTGCCGTAGGAGAAAGGACATTAACCGTGGCCTGGCAATTTGATTTTCAGTTCCAGCGAAAAAGATTGGAAATAATTTTTAAAAATGTCATTAATTAAAGGCACCTTAAAGCTGTTGAGAATTTTCAAAAGGCTTTCATGTCCCTTTAGGGAAGAAATCTGCTGTCTGTACCTGGTCTGATACATTGGGGACTCCAGATTCTCAATAATGTGGCTGTTCCTTACCGTTCTCTGAGATTGTCACTTGTATTAAATGGCTGGGGGTTGATTAGCTCAGTTCCTTTATTCCTTTCATTCTTCATGGGATGAGGGTGTCGCTGGCCAGGCAGCATTTATTACCCATCCCTAGTTACCCAGAGGGCAGTTTAAGAGTCAACCACATTGCTGTGGGTCTGGAGTCACATGTAGTCCAGACCAGGTAAGGGGACAGCAGTTTCCTTCCCTAAAAGCCATCAGTGAACCAGATGGGTTTTTCTGACAATCAGCAATCGATTCCCAGTCATCGTTAGATTCTTAATTCCAGATGTTTATTGAATTCAAATTCCACCATCTGCCGTGGCAGGTCCTCAGGACGCTATGCAGAGTGATGCCAAAAGTGTGGGTTCCATTCCCACACTGGTTGAGGCTGCCATGTAGGTCCCACCTTGCGCCTGAGGCATGGTGACCTTCAGGTTAAACTACCACCAGTCATCTCTCTCTAATGATACTGCAGCCCTATAGGACTTCATTAAATGGTTATTTCCTTAAGCCACATAGGGATGGAAACAGAGACTTTCCAATGATGCTCACTGTCAAAGAATTTTAAAAATTAATAATCTGCAGACATCCACCCACTATTGAATTAGATAAATTTAGAACAAAAAAATGCTGAGTAGATCAGAAATGGCTCAACAAAAGCCATTGTTTCTTTTGGCCTGTAACTTGAAATCTGGTGATCTTAATGCTGAGCTTGAATCTTTTAAGAAAGATCATGCTTTGCTTTAAAGTCATAAATGGTCAAATATTAGCATCAAGGTGTCTGTGAAGTATGATTGAAAGTGGATCCTTGCTTACCTGTTAAAATGGAAACGTTGGTGAGTGAGAAAGCTGAGTGTGTACTCCAGGCCAGAGAACAGGAACAGGTAGAGGAAATACACCAGTCCAAGAACTTTCAGTGTCTGCATCCCTGGGGAGTTATAGAAAATAAGTAAAAAGATTGCAAGCACATTTCTTGCTGCAGCAGACATTAGACAGATGTCTTCCCACACATATTCATCAGATTTAGGGAGAGTGGGAGGAGACCTCACTGGCAAAAACCAGAGGGATTAATATTATTTATGTGCTAAGTCATCACTGTCACTCAATATAACAAAACATTACCGCAAGGATACTCGTGGATATTGATACATGGTGCTGAAGTACAGATCAGAAACGATCTTTGAAAACATCTTTCCAGAGATGTAGGTGTCACTGGCTGGGCGAACATTTATTGCCCATCTCTAGTTGCCCTTGAGAAGGTGGTGGTGAGCTGCCTTCTTGAACCGCTGCAGTCCATGTGCCATAGGTTGACCCATGTTGCTATTAGGGACGGAATCCCAGCATTTTGACCCAGCAACAGCGAAGGAGTGGTGATATATTCCCAAGTCAGGATTGTGAGTGGCTTGGAGGGGAACATGGAGGTGGTGGTGGTGTTCCCATGTAACTGTTATTCTTATCTAGGTAGTAGGGGTGGTGGGTTTGGAAGGTGCTTATGGAGCCTCTGTGAGTTCCTGCGACAGTTCTTAGGAAAAACAGGCTTGAGGGGCTGATTACTTCCTCCTGTTCCTATGCTCTCTACTGTGCAAAGATCATGTTACTTTTAGTTCACTAGCAACATGAACAATTCGGGATAAAACACAGTGGAGGAGTTCCAGGCCCAATTCTGAATCACAGTGGGAGCTGGAGTAAAACGAAAGGGCCTTTGCTTCTTCGGTCAGGTGTATGTGGTGGGACATAGAATGCTTAGAGGAACAGAGGGATCTTGGCATGATTATCCAGAAATCCCTGAGGCAGCATGACAGGTTAATGGGGTAACTAAGAAGACATACAGGACACTTGCCTTTCTCAGTTGTGGTACAGATTATAAGAGAAGGGAGGTTATGTAGGAGCTCGACAGAACTTTGTTAGGCCACAGCTGGAGTACTGTGTGCAGTTCTGGTCACCACATTGGAGGAAGGATGGGATTGTACTGGAGGGGATGCAGAGGAGATTCACCAGGATATTGCCTGGGATGGAGCATTTCAGTGATGAAGAGAGGCTGGATAAGCTGATTTCTTTGGAGCAGAAAAGGTTAAGTGGGGGGGACCTGATAGAGGTGCATAAGATTGAGGACATGGATAGAGAGCACTGTTCCCTTTAGGTAAAGGGTCAGTAATAAGGGGATGTAATTGTAAAGGTGAAAGGTGGGAGGGTTAGAGGCGATTTGGGGAAATTCTTTTAACCAAAGGGTGGTGGGCATCTGGAATGAGCTGCCTGGGGTTGGTTGAGGCAGGAAACCTCACAACCTCTACAAAGTAGTTGGAAAAACCACTTGAAGTGTCATAAAATTCAAGGCTGTTGGTCTCATGTTGGAAATTGGGACTAGTGTAACTTTGGCAGGACAGACTTGATGGGCCAAAGGGCCTTTTCTGCACTGAATGATTCTACATTTCTCTGGAATCTGCTTGTCAGAATACGCCGGGCAATTGCAGGGGGCAGACTAAAACAGGGGGAAGCAAGCGAAACTCCATGTTATCAATGATGGGCTGGGGTTGACCAGGGCTGCAGGTTACATTAGGGCTAGAGAATGATAGCCCCACCAACCACCTCCGACCCTGGTTTCCTGGGCAGGAAGAGCCAAACAAACTCCGTGGTATCATACGATAACAAGGAACTCAAAGAAGGAAGATTTATTGAAGTTGTCACTTTTGAAGTAGCGTAGGTAACACAGCAACTTATTTGCGCACAGGCAGATCACTGAAAATGGGATCCGGTGGCAAAACTAAATGGAAAGAAATGCCTCAGGGAATTCTGCTGGAGATTCACGCACCTTCTGGAGAGGGAGAATTGGCCTGTCGTTGAATGGCAGAGAACTGAAGCAGAGCCACAGGACTGAGGAGGTCGATGGCATTCTGGAATGTGGTGAAGACCGAGGAGACCTAGGTCAGGAAAAGAGGAGAGAAATGAAGAGCAAGATTTCCTATTGTTATGTCCAAACCACATCCTTCAATCAGATCATCCAGCAATTATCACCTAAAGATTGTAAAAGGAAAAAAACAAGAGGCCACAGATTTAGAGCGATGGGTAAAAGAAGCAAGGGTAATGCGAGAAAAAAACTTTTTCACTCAGTCATTAGTTAGGGCCTGAAAACCTGGTGGAGGCACATTCAACTGAGGCCTTTGAGAGGACACTGGATGGTTATTCAATGCACTGGCTTACAGGGAAAAGGCGGCAGAATGGCACCAAGTCATGGTGCTCATTTGGAGAGCTAGTATCGACACAATGGGTCAGATGTCCTCCTTCTGTACCTGAGGACCTCCTGCAGAGATATCCCAGATTTGAGATGACTGACTTCCAACAACCACAACCATCTTCCAATGGGCCAGGAATGACGCTAACTAGGGCAGTTGTGTGGAGACACTAGACAGTGAATAAGACATTGGATTGACAATTTGATAAAAATAGCAGAGATGGGAATGTAACCCAGGATTATCCAAACTGCACCACAGGCAACATGCAACCCTCAAACCCTGGTGACACAGTCTATGAGGCTCAGATAAAATAACCCAACTCCTGCTTAGAATTCTTCCTGTCCTGTGTGAACTTTGTGGGACTGAAGGTCTTTTTGTAACTGTCTATTCAAGAGATGTTAGCATTGCTGACAAGGTCACCAGTCATCAGCAACTGTGGATCAGCCACAACTGATAGTGGAATTTGTATTCAATAAAAATCTGGAATTAAATGATGACTATGAAATAATTGTCGATTGTCGGAAAAATCCATCTGGTTCACTAACATCCTTCAGGGAAGGAAATCCCTTAACTGGTCTGACCAATGTGTGACTCCAGACCCAAGGCAATATGGTTGACTCTTAACTGCTCTCTGAAATGGCCTAGCAAGCCACTCAGTTGTACCAATCGCTCAAGAAAGAAATGAAACTGGACAGACTATCCGGCATCAACCTAGGCATTGCAAATGACAATGGCAGAAACAGCCCTGTCGACCCTGCAAACTTCTTCTCACTAACAACTGCCAAAATTGGGAGAGCTGTCTCACAGACTAGACAAGCAACAGCCTGACATAGTCAAACTCACAGAATCATACCTTGCAGACAATGTCCCAGACACCACCATCACCATCACCATCCCTGGATATGTCCTGTCTCACCGGCAGGACAGACCCGGCAGAGGGGGTGGCACAGTGGGATACAGTCAGGAGGGTGTTGCTTTGGGAGTCCTCAACATTGACTCTGGACCCCATGAAGTCTTGTGGTTTCAGGTTAAACATGGGCTCTGACTGATTACCACGTAACTTCCTCCCTCAGCTGATGAATCGGTTCTCCTCCATGTTGAATAACACTTAGAGGAAGCACTGAGGATGGCAAGGGCACAAAATGTACTCTGGGTGGGGGATTTCAATGTCCACCACTAACAGTGGCTCGGCAGCAGTACTACTGATCGAGCTGGTCGGGTCCAAAAGGACATAGCTGCTAGTCTGGGTCTGCAGCAGGTGGAGAGGGAGCCAACAAGAGGGAAAAAACATACTTGACCTCATCCTCACCAATCTGCCAGCTGCAGTTGCATCTGTCTATGACGGTATCGGTAAGAGTGACGATCGCACAGCCCTTGTGGAGACGAAGTCCCGCCTTCACATTGAGAATAACCTCCATCGTGTTGTGTGGCACTATCACCGTGCTAAATAGGACAGACTTCATACAAATCTAGCAACTCAAGACTGGGCATCCATGAGGTGCTGTGGGCCATCAACAGCAGCAGAATTGTACTCCAGCACAATCTGTAACGTCATGGCCTGACATATCCCCCACTCAACCATTACCATTACGTCAGGGGATCATCCCTGGTTCAATGGAGAGCACAGGAGGGCATGCCAGGAGCAGCACCAGGCATACCTGATAATGAGGCGTCAACAGGACTACTTGCATGCCAAACAAGTGACATACAGAGCTAGGTAAGCCCACAACCAACAGATCAGATCTAAGCTCTGCAGTCCTGCCACATCCCATCGTGAATAGTGGTGGACAATTAAATAACTCACTGGAGGAGGAGGCTCCACAAATATCCCCATCCTCCATGATGGAAGAGCCCAGCACACCAGTGCAAAAGATATGGCTGAAACTTTCGCAGCAATCTTCAGCCAGAAGTGCTGAGTGGATGATCCATCTCGGCCTCCTCCAGTGGTCCCCAGCATTACAGATACCAGTCTTCAGCCAGTTTGATTCACTCCATGTGATATCAAGAAATGGTTGCAGACACTGGATACTGCAAAGGCTACGGGCCTGACAACATTCGGGCAATAGTACTGAAGACTTGTGCTCCAGAACTTGCTGCTCCCCTAGCCAAGCTGTTCCAGTACAGTTACAACACTGGTATCTACCCGACAATGTGGAAAATTGCCCAAGTATGTCCTGTACAGAAAACGCAGGACAAATCCAACCCAACCAATTACTGCCCCATCTGTCTACTCTCGATCATCAGTAAAGTGATGGAAGGTGTCATCAACAGTGCTATCAAGCAGCACCTGCTCAGCAATAACCTGCTCAGTGACGCCCAGTTTGGGTTCCGCCAGAGCCTCTCAACTCCTGACCTCATTACAGCCTTGGTCCAAACACGGACAAAAGAGCTGAATTTCAGAGGTGAGATTGAGAGTGACTGTCCGTGATATCAAAGCCACATTTGACCAAGTGTGGCATCAAGGAGCCCTGGCAAAACTGGAATCAATGGGTATCAGGAGGCAAAATCTCCACTGATTGCAGTCACACCTGACACATAGGAAGATGGTCATGGTTGTTGGAGGTCAGTCATCTCAGCTCCAGGGCATCTCTGCAGTTCCTCAGGATAGTAGCCTCTGCCCAACCAACTTCAGCTGCTTCACCAATGACTTTCCCTCCATCATAAGGACGGAGAGGGGATGTTCGTCAATGATTGCACAATGTTCAGCATCATTCACGACTCTTCAGATACTAAAGCAGTCCATGTTCAAATGCAACAAGATCTGGACAGTACCCAGGCTTGGGCTGACGAGTGGCAAGTAACATTTGTGCCACCAAAATGCCAGGCAATGACCATCTCCAGAAAGAGACAATCTAACCATTGCCCCTTTATGGTCAATGCTGTTGCCATCACTGAGTCCCATTATCAACATGCTGAGCAAGCATCATTCAGAAGTTGTCAGTAACTACTCTGTGTGCAAATTAAATGTTGGGTAGTCCCCTCCAGAACAAAACTCGCTGAGGACGACTGAAGAAGGTACCAAGTTTCAGAAACCCAGGGTGAAACAGTTTGCTGAAGTTTAGAGCTAATAGTCAATGGAACCCTGAACGTCTGCAGGCAGAATAAGACTCTGCTGAAGATTGGCAAACATTGTAAGGTTTTCAAACATTGCAGCGCAGTGATTCATGCTGCAGTAGGTCACAGTGACACAGCTGAAACCATGGTGGAAGATAAGGGCTACAGTTAGTCAACTTGAACACATCCAATGGAGGATGGAGCAGTAATTGTTTGCGTTGTACAAGAATGTTCAACAAGTTGATGAGAGATCGCAGCCAACTCATGATACGTTCCAAAACTGGACATATTCTTCTGGTTCTCCCCATACAACAATCAGGAGAAAGATGTCACTACACACACGCACACACACACACATACCACCACCACCACCACCACCACCACCTCCACCACCCACCCACCCACCCACCCACCACCGCTACCCCACCCCACCCCGCCGCACATCATCCTCTGTCTATACCATGGTCCATGTCCCCTCCCTCCCACACACTCATCCTGAGCTGGCATCCAAAGGCGAAGCACAGGAAAGACTTGTTTATCTCTTACCCGCTTCTCTCTGGGGAGGGTCTCTGGGAGGAAGAGGATGATGAAGACCAGGTCTGACACTGCAAACAACAAGGCAAGCTGTGCCGTCTGCACGAAGAAGCTGCCATCCTTCTCAGCGCTCGATGCAAAGTAAGCTCCAATCATTGGTCCAATCGTAAAGCCAAGTGAAAACGCAACACCAATCATTGCCTGCAGATTGGGAGAGAAGGGTAGAAACAGTGACTGCCAGAGATTAGGCCAGATGATTTGTTGTGCAGCCAAGGTGTAGCTCAGTAATGGCATTCAGGCCTCTGAGTGTGAGTGTTGTAAGTTTAATTCCCATTCCGCAGTGTGAAATCCAAGCTGACAGTTCACAACAGGACTAAGGCTGTGCTATACTGTCAGATGTTCTATCAGTGAGATCATAATCAGAGGCCCCAACTCCCTTCTCAGATGGAAGCCAAAGATCCTGATTCAGACCACCTTGAATGGCCTATTTTGTTATATTCTTCCGTTATTTGCAGAGCTCTGGCAAATCTGCAGATTGGATCAAAATCCTGGAATTCTCTCTCCAAGGGCATTGTCAGACAACATACAGCACGTGGACTGCAGTGGTTCAAGAAGGCAGCTCAGCATTACCTTCTCAAGGGCAATTTGGAACGGGCAATAAATGATGGCTCAGCCAATAAAGTTTATCATTTCACATTCCTCAGGACTGAAATGCAAAAAAACCAAATTTTAGCCACAAAACAACTATTTATACAGCATGAGAAGAGGATATGGATGAATTTAATCAGTTGTTGGATAGACAATGAATGCTGCATCGTCATGCCAACCAATCAACACCCTCTTCACCTGCTGTATAAATAGCTCATTCCTTCTAGAATTTGGTTTTCTTGCATTCTAATCCTGAAGAGTACCAGACACGAAATGTCGACTTCACGTCTCTTTTCAACAATGCATACGTTGAAGCCTTATTTGTAAATTAGCTCTTACCATTCCCTTGCTGCGGGTCTGTGGAGACGGGAGGTCGGCAATGATGGCAGTTGACAGGCTGACATTCCCTTTACTGATCCCTCCAACAATTCTAGACAGGAGGAAAATCCCAAAGTTCCGGGAGAGAGCCCACAGAGCGTAGGAAGCAATCAGCCCAGCCTGGCAAGCGGAAAACACAAAAGCAGAACTGTGAGAAAAAGCCAATTCCTTATTTCTTGTGCTGGCCACCTGGTGACCTCTTCCTCATGGGAAAACACACCAACTTCAGCCTCCCTGAAGTCACCCACTTGATGCAGTCCTCCAGTCCTTCATCATGACTGGGTCAACACTAAGTTAGGGGACTATTGGGGTTAATATTCCATGTGAGGAGCTAGATTGAACAGCACTTTCAAAGAGCCAGATGGTCAGAATGGCTTTCTTCAATGCTGTAAAATCCGACTCTAAGCTCCTGCGATTCTGTCAGGCATCAGCATGGGGGCACGATCAGTAGAACTGCAGTGGCGCCAAGGACTATGCCCTACTAACCTCCTTCTCACTGCAACAAGGGATAGACAACAAATGCCAGTCTCTCCAGAATCAACAATAAAAAAAAGAGTGGGTGGCAGCCTCATCAAGTGAAATATTCTTGAGGAAAGGTAACTTAAACATTCACTCCCTCGACCACTGACACTCAGCAGCAGTGTGCAGTGGATGTCATTTCCCTGGCCCTACACTCATCCCTGGAACATCTGCATAACAAGGACACCTACGTCAGGCTCCTACTCATGGACTACAGCTTTTTTTTTTATTTATTCACAGGATGAGGACATTGCTGGCTAGGCAGCATTTATTGTCCATCCCTAATTGCCCAGAGGGCAGTTAAGAGTCAACCACATTGCTGTGGGTCTGGAGTCACATGTAGGCCAGACCAGGTAAGGGTTGCAGTTTCTTTTCCTAAAGGACATTAGTGAACCAGATGGGTTTTTCCGACAATCGGCAACGGGTTCATGGCAATCATTAGACTCTTAATTCCAGATTTCTTTTTTTTTAAAATTCAAATTCTTGCATCTACCATGGCGGGATTCGAACCTGGGTACCCAGAACATTATCTGGGTCTCTAGATTAACAGTTCAGCGATAATACCACTAGGCCATCCCTTCCCAGCTCCGCTGTCAACACCATGATCCCTTCCAGACTGATCTCAAAAGTGTGTGACCTTGGTCTGGGCTCCGCCTTCTGCAACTTGATCCTCAGCTTTCTGACCCATTGGCTGCAATCAGTGATGATAGATAACTGCACCTCCTCCACAATTACACTCAACACTGGAGCCCCCCCACCCCAAGTTAGCATCCTCCGACCCCTACTGTACTCCCTGTGTACCTACGACTGTGTTGCCAAATTCCGAACGAACACCATCTACAAGTTTGCTGACGACACCACTGTGGTAGGACGGACCATCAAACAACGATGAGTCAGATTACAGAAAGGAGATAGAAGGCTTGGTGATGCAGTGCAATAATAACAACCTCTCCCTCAATGTCTGCAAAACAGAAGAACTGATCATTGACTTCAGAAAGAAAGGAGGACAACACACCCTCATCTACATCAACAAAACTAAAGTGGAGAGGGCCAAGAGCCTTAAGCTCCTAGGAGTGAGGATAACCAACAATCTGTCCTGGACTTCTAACGTAGATGTGACAGTGAGGATGGCACACAATGCCCTATCTTCCTCAGACGGCTCGGGAAATTTGGCATGTCCATAAAGACCCTCACCAACTTTTACAGATGCACCACAGAAAGCATTCTATCCAGGTATACAACGGCTCTGCCCAGGACAGTAAGAAACCGCACAAAGTTGTGTGCACAGCCCAGGCCGTCACAGAAGCCAACCTCCCACCCACAGACTCCATTTACAATTCTCATTGCCGTGGAAACACTGCCAACATCAAAAGCTCCTCCCACCCCAGTAATGCTGTCTTCCAGCTTCTTCTGTCAGGCAGAAGATACAGAAGCTTGAACACACGCACCAACAGGTTCGAGAACAGCCTCTTCCCTGCTGTTATTAGACTGCTGAATGGACCTCTTTAACTTCATTTAATGTTGATCTTGCATTATGCACCTCCTGTGCGGCCATAACCCTTTATGCCTCGCTCTGTCTAAACGACTTGTGATCTCTATGTCCTAATTTGCTAGGATCTGCCAGCACTGCTCACAAAACAAAGCTTTTCACTGTACTTAGGTACATGTGACTACAATAAATCAAATCAAATCAAATCACGTAGAAAATGCACAGCAGAAATTCACCAAGTCATCTCAGACAGCACCTTCCAAACCACTGAGCACTACCATCTAGAAGGACAAGGGCAGCAGATATAGGGGAACACCACCCCCTGCAAGTTCCCCTCGAAGCCACTCACCATCCTGACTTGGAAACATATCGGCCGTTCCTTCAGTGTTGCTGGGTCAAAATCCTGGAATTCCCTCCCTAACAGCATGGCAGGTCTACCCCCGCAGCACACGGACTGCGGCAACTCACCACCGCCTTCGCATGGGGCAATTAGGAATGGGCAATAAACACTGGTTCAGCCAGTGATGCCCATATTCTATGAATGAATAAAAATAATGATGCTGTTAAAGTGGGGCGAGGTGACCTACCCCTTCTGTCTCCCAAACGATGGCAGGAGTCTGGACAAATCAAAGTGACAAGTACAAAAATATAAAGAACATTGTTTGGAGTGAGCCTTCATTCCGTGATAGCACTCTCACGCCTGAATCAGAAAGCTAGGCATTCACAATCGGGGAGTTGGTGACATAGTGGCAATGCCACTGGACTAGTAACCCAGAGACCCAGCCTAACATTCTCAGGACACGGGATTGAAACCAAGCAGGGTGGCTGGTGAAATATGAATTCAATTAACAAAGCTAGCCTAATGCAACCATGTACTGTCAATTGTCGTGCAAATCTGGTTCACTGATGTCCTTTAGGGAAGGAAACCTGCCATCCTTACCCGGTCTGGCCTACACATACATCCACGCCCACAGTGATGTGGTCAACTCTGAAATGGTCTAGAGAGCCAATCGAACAACTAGGGATGGGCAACAAATGTCACTCTTGCCAGTGCCACATCCCATACAGGGATTCAATAGAACATCCCGTTCCAAACAGTTCCGCTGAATGGAGGTGAGGGTTCCACTCTCCGAACGCTAAACTGACATCCAGGCAGTTGTTCTTGTCTTAATAAGCTGCCTCAGCCTCCCATATCACAACAGCTCAGACGAACAGGAGACCAGAGTTCCAGTCTGCAAGCACCGAGTTCATCTCAGGCAGGGCAATTGATTCCAATGTGACAGACTCCACTTACCATAGTCAGCATCATCAACGGTCTCCGGCCAAAATAGTCAGAGGCTGCACCAGTCACAGGGGCTACGAGGAATTGCAGCACGGAGAACATGGATCCAATGAGCCCTGGGTTGATGCAGATAGAAAAGGAAAACAATGAGCAGTAAATCAACCTGCTTCAATGACAGCAATCCTATATCAAACCCTCATACATACTTCAGGTCGAGTGAATATCCATTTAATAGATTACTCTCTGCAGGACCGTGATAACAACAGTATAAATAACACCATTACAGCAGAGTACACACTATGAAATACAACCATTATGCTACACTACATTTATGTTTACAATGCAATAACTCAGTAAACAACATAGCTTCCTTTAACCAAATAAAATATTCTCACCCCCAAAGAGGACACTGTTATATTTTCTTACACTGGGAACCCCGATCATATCAGCAAACCAGGATACAGAATGTTGCAAGGATTGATAAACACCATCCTGTTGATAAAAGGCACAGTGAGTCAGAGTAGAGTGAAGAATAATCTATTAAAAATCTTATGTCAGCATTGCACTTTGTGTTAAAAAAAGTTGCTTGACATATTTTTGTCTCTTGTTTCCGAAGGCTTATTCCCTACGTCCACATTAATAATGGAAACCGCCCATGTAAATATGTCACGCTGTAGTTACACCATCCACTCAGTGGTGACACTGAAGACCTCAGTCTTGCATCTCCATTATCTCATTTTACAAAGAAAAATTGCAACCGTCTTTAATCCTGCGTCCTGAATTTGCTGTTTAATGATGAATGGTAAGAAATCTAAGCATTTATTTAAAAATAAAAACATCTTAAAATGGTGATTGAATTATGTCTGGGTGCGCCTATTTGAGCTCAGCCCTTCTAAACAAGTTGGAAAATGAACTTGACCTTAAACCACGTTGTGCAACACCACAGGAGATTGCACAGTAATACATATTATTAGCAGTAACAACGTATTCTGAGCTGACACACTGGCTTGGCAATGTTATCCACAAATAAAAGGAAGAACTTGCATTTATGTGTTGCCTTTCAATAGCTTCAAGGCATCCCATAATGTTTTAGTGCTGAAAGTTTGGACACTTGTAACATGGTAGTCAATATATGCACCACAAGATCCCACAATCAATGATGTGATAATGACCAGGTTTTCAGTGATGTTAGTTAAGGTTAAACATTAAACAGGACAATAGGGTTAACATAGAAACACAGAAGATAGGTGCAGGAGGAGCCATTCAGCACCTTCGAGCCTATTCCGCCATTCTTCATGATCATGGCTGACTGTCCAACTCAATAGCCTAATCCTGCTTTCTCCCCATAACCTTTAATCCCATTTGCCCCAAGTGCTGTATCTAGCCACCTCTTGAATACATTCAATATTTTGGCATCAACTACTTCCTGTGGTAATGAATTCCACAGACTCACCACTCTTTGGGTGAAGAAATGTCTCCTCATCCCCGTTCTAAATGGTTTACCCCGAATCCTCAGACTGTGACCCCTGGTTCTGGACACACGCACCATCAGGAACATGCTCCCTGCATCTACCCTGTTCAGTCCTGTTAGCATTTTATAACTGTCTATGACATACCCCCTCATTTGTCTGAACTGTAGCAAAAACAATCCCAACCTAGTCAATCTCTCCTTATATGTCAGACCCACCATTTCCGGAATCAGCCTGGTAAACCTTCGCTGCACTCCCTCGAGAACAAGAGCATCTTTCCTCAGAAAAGGAGACCAGAACTGCACACAATATTCTAGGTGTGGTCTCACCAAGGCCCTGTAGAACTGCAACAAAACATCCCTGCTGCTGTATTCGAAACCTCTCGCAATGAAGGCCATTTGCCTTCTTTCCCACCTGCTGCACCTGCATGCTTACCTTCAGTGACTAGTGCACAAGGACACCCAGGTCCCGCTGTGCACTCCCCTCTCCCTATTTACGGTCCTCCTAATCTTCTTTGAACGGTTCCAAGGAATCCTTGCCTCACTACTGTTCCCTCCACCAGACTGTCAGCACAGATTGTGTGCCTTGAAGGGGGTACATGTGTAGTTTTACCAAAATTATGCCAAGACTTAAAGAGTTAAATTATGGGGCCAGGTTTTGCATCAGCTTTGGGTCATATTCCCTAAAGTTTTGAAGGGTGAGGGGTGATCTAACTTCAGTCTTCAAAACGTTAAAATGACTGAATAATTAGATAGTGACAAAGTATTTCATGAGGTGAGGGCATTTCAGAATGAGGAGGACTTTTGCGTTAGAGGGAGGTTAGGGCTTTTTCTCACAAAGAAACTCAAACAGTCTGACCACAGGGTGGGGGAGTCAATTGAAACCTCCCAAGAGAAATTAATAAGAATTGTGCCAGGTAAGGATTTTTTTTCTTTTATTCATTCATGGGATGTGTGCAACTGTGGCTAGGCCAGCGTTTATTACCCATCCCTAATTGCCCAGAGGGCAGTTTAATAGTCAACCACATTCCTGTGGGTCTGGAGTCACATGTAGGTCAGACCAGGTAAGGATGCAGTTTCCTCCCTAAAGGACATTAGTGAACCAGATGGGTTTTTCCAACAATCGATAATGGATTCATGGTCATCATTAGATTCTTAATTCCAGATTTTTATTGAATTCAAATTCCACCATCTGCCATGGCAGGATTCGAACATTACCAAGGTTTCTGGATTAATAGTCCAGTGATAATACCACTAGGCCATTGCCTCCCCTTCAGTAGATACAGGTCATATGCAGGTGTCTTGTCTCAATGTACAGATCTCCCCTAACAGAATGAAATGGTGTAGAATAGGCTGGTGGGCTGACTGTCCTCAATGACCTGGAAAGGGACCCTCCTCAGTAACAGCCTTGCTATATCTGTGCTGCTGAGCTGACAGTGGGTGTCTGAAACAGTCCCCAGTAGTGCCACCCACCGAATCAACATCACACTCACAAACAAACAGCAGACATGGTGTGAGCATCAGGAAGTCTCAGTCAGCTCAGCTCTTTCACAAAAGCGATCGTACAAAAACAGAGCAGTTGTGGAGCTGCTATATACCTCCCAGCTTTTCCTTGGCAAGAAACACAGCTTACTCATCTATCCCCAGAGTCTGTCCCCACCCCCAGCTGGTCCTGAGTATGACTCAGCTGCATTCTGGCAAGATTTTCATAACACTCCCAGGCTTTTATACAAGGTCAAAACAGCGAGCAGGAGAGGGGAATGGAATCTTGGAAGAAAATCTCAAACGTGAAGGCATCAGAAAACCTAGAGACTGCACAGACATAGGCAGGGCTATATGTAACATTTTGTGAATTCAGGGTAGGCCAAAGGACTTTGATGGGGTTTTAAAGCCAAGCTACGCTGCTTCAATTCATAAACTGGCTGAACTCTGCCTGAAGGTTATGGGATGGAGGCCTATTTCAGGCTTAACTCCATCATCCGCTGAGGGAATGCTGCACAGTTAGAGGATTGTTTTCAGATGATGGGTTAAACAAAGTCCAGGGTGGTCATAACTGGCTTTCACCGGCCCAATTTCATAGACAAACTATCTTTAATCACTCAATTATTAAAGCAGTCTACCCCAGCTTGTATCACATTTGTGGGATCTTGCTGTGAACAAATAGTCTGTCTCACTTCTTACATTGGAAAAGGGAATACACTTCAAAAAAAAACTTATCTAACAGTAAGGAGAAAGAAAATCTTCAAGGGGAGGGTACACCATTTAACTAAATATTGAAGAAAAAGTAACATAATTGTGTAAAGGTTGGTGGCAGAAGAGTCACAGGCCATTAAAAACAATAAAGAATGACTAAAAGATTAAAAGGAGAAAAAATATCAGAGTACAGGAGAAAACTCTGTGGAAATATTAAACAGATAGTTAGAGTTTCTACAGATAATTAAAAAGAGTTAACAAAGGCCCAATAGAAAGTGAATCTGCAGAATTAGTAGTGCAAAAAAGCAAGATGGCAGATGAACTGAACAGATAGTTTGTATAAGTTGTCACTGTAGAGGATGCAAATAATATCCCAGAAATCACCAGGAAATGGAAAGGAAGGAGGAATTCAAGAAAATTACAATTACCAGGGCAGAGATACTAGGAAGTTGTTGGACCTTTGGGCTGACAAGTATCCAGGTGCTGATGAACTGCAGCAATGGCTATTGAGATAGTTGTTGCATTCATTTTAATTTTAGATTTGCAAATGGTCCCGTTAGCTTGGAAAATAGCGAACATAACCCCTTTATTCAAAAAGGGAGGGAACTACAGATAATTGGCATAACATCTGTCATAAGGAAGCCAGAAGTCATTATTAAATATGTCGTAGCAGGGCACTTAGAGAAGTTTAGGGTAATCAGGCAGAGTTGATATGGTTTTGTGGAAGGGAAATTATGTTTAACCAAGTTATCAGTGTTATCAGTGCTGTGGATAAAGGGAAACCAGTGGACGTATTGTACCTAGGTTTCCTGAAAACGATTAGGAAGGTGCCACATCAAAAGTTATTGCAGGAAAACACTTGGTATACGAGATAAAGTATTGGATTGGATATAAGATTGGCTGGCTAATAGGAAGTTGACCGTAGGAATAAATAGCTAAATTTCCAGTTATCAAAAAGAATTGAGTGATGTGCCACAGGGAGCGTGCTAGAGCCTGAACTACTTATAGTTTTGTGGGAGAAGACACCAAAAAAGGGTCACTGTTTAAAAATGAGGTAACTCAGAGATGAGGGGATATTTTTCTCACAAAGAGGATCCTGTGGCTTTGGAATTCTCATTCTCAAAAGGCGGGGGGAAGCAGTTTGTTTCAATGTTTTTAATACAGGGGTAGAAGACGGTCGATAAGCAAGGAGGTAAAAGGTTATTGGGGGTAGACCAAAATGCGAAGTAATCAGATGAGCTGTGATCTTATTTAATGGAGGAGTAGAGTCATGGGGCTGAATGGCCTAATCCTGTTCCAAATTCACGTGTTCGTAAAGTTGAGAGTCAACCACATTGCCGGGGGTCTGGAGTCACATGTAGGCCAGACCAGGTAAGGGTGGCAGATTTCCTTCCCTGAAGGATATTAATGAACCAGAAAGGAATTTAACAACTACAATTAATTGTAGTTACTTTCAAAATTATATTTATTGATGGAATTCAAATTCCACCAGCTGCCGTGGTAGGGTTTGAACTCAGGTCCCCAGACCATAAGCCTGGGCTACTGGATTACCGGTCCAGCAACGATACCATTACACCACCATCTCCCCTGCTTGCAGGATCTTACTTTGTGCAAATTAGCACCAGCAGGCACCCATTCCAGCTGAGATTTCAGTTGTTTCAGCGGCGGGAGTCCGGGAGGAAGCGCGAGGGCAGCCTGGGAAGGTGAGCTTTTCGGTGATAAAAGTCTTACCTCGCGTGACTGCGGCCTTTCAGTTGTTTCAGCGGCGGGAGTCCGGGAGGAAGCGCGAGGGCAGCCTGGGAAGGTGAGCTTTTCGATTATAAAAGTCTTA